ACAGGTTTGTGTTGTATTCGGGACTGCTCCAAAGAAAAGGGTGAGCAGTCCCTTAGATACATCAAGAGATCAGAATGAGTCAGTACAACCCGAGCCGTAGCAGAAGACACAGGGTCCTGTGCTACATACAGCGTACCTTATAGAGTTACAGTTAGTCCTTACAAAAATTAGCCGATCAAGATGGATAATGAGGAACTCCGTGTATCTTGTGAGTCCGGATGATGTAGACGAGGAAGAGATTGATCCCGTGGACCTGGCCCATATAGAGAGCAGTTCTGCAGCTCCTATCGTTATAATTGCAGTGGAGGATGAGGTAGCAATGGAGGATGCAACTGAGGATAAAATCATTCCATCGTTAGAGTCTGATTACTCCACTGAAGATGAAGACATGGATAGTATTGCTGAACCTTTAGGAACAATGAACCTGATCCATCTGGAAGATGGCATTTCTTCAATTAGATGTAAACAGGAACTCCAAGGAAAAGGACGACCTCCTGATGATATCGGAGGTAACGAGGACTTAGTTCATGCCCTCGATTCCTGTGCTGACAGGTTGATGATGAATCCCTCATGGAACAGTTGGTTAAAGGAGATGGACATCCCTGTGAACCTCAAGGAATAGATCACCAGGTGTATCTGCAGTATGCCTGACCTAGAGTAAAGTTGGAGATACTACCCTTGGGAACATGAGGAGAACAAGGATATAGCAGACGGGCTTGAAGATATCAGGCTAATGATCCATAATATTAAGAATCTTGATGTTGAGGTCTCTAGGATCCCATCAAGGCCCAAACTCATGATCCTAAATAGGATATTAGTTGTTAATGTTTAATTAATATAACAGATTGATTTTTATAAGTATGTGCATTGAAATAATATGTAAAAATAAACGTACAAATACAGATTAAACATTTAATGTATGTTTACTTGGATACATAAGATAATTCAAGAAATTAATTCTTGGGACGTTTAGGAATCAACCCGCAATTGTGCGTTGGACCTGCATAACAAACCTGTCTAATTTAGATATAGTGTTAATGACTAGATCAATTTTGGATCAACCGAACTTAATGAGTTGATCCTGAAAGATCAATATCTGATGCACAGTTGATTTGTTGTGTTAATCACAACATTTGTTCTTCTTGTTAGTTTTTCAATTAGAGGGGAATTGAAAACATATCAAATCTCGATCTCAAGTGCAGGTGCGCGCAATTCATTTCAGTTTCATTGTGGCCCGGATACGATTTTTTCCAAATTGTAATTTATGAGTGGACTTAGTCGACCATATTAATTTATATTTTTGCTCGGTTCTAAAATACCTTTATTATCAATTCACAGTAAACTGTTGTTTTCTCTGTTTTTTCTTTTTTCTTTTTGTCAAATTGAAAGTTTGATAAACTGTTAAAGATAAAGAAGTTTTGTTAATCTCTTTATCCTATTAATACCTGGGCAAACTTTCAACTGTTCTGGGATCAAACCATTTGATCTTAGGACCCAGGGATTTAGAGGAATCAGGGGATTACGTTTTATTTTAGAAAATAAAACATAAGAAAACCATCATAAAACTATTCAATATTCCATAAGTGTCTTAACCTAACCTAACCCTAAATAACAAAAAAATAAATAATAAATTTGCTGTAAAATAAATGGTCATGTACAAAATTGATAACAAAAAAATAATCATAGATTTTTGCGTAAAATGTATAATAAAGGATGTTTAAGCTAAACCATAATTGTAATCGAATAGTGATTTATATAGTCTTTGTTTTAACAGATATTGTGTCTATTGAAAAACTATTAACACACTCCAGAATCCATTGAAATTCTTCATTCTAACAGGAGACATCTAGCGGTACACAAAGTACATCATTTAAAAATCAAACTAAAAATGACCACGAGCAGCCAAAATTCAATTTGGAAGGTTCTTTATGCAACAAATAAAGGATTAGTTAGAAATTAATTATATTATACCATACGAAAATCAAATTTGAGCTTAGCCTGTTCACTATTTTCGTTTTTCACGAACACTTCCTTCAAGTTCGGAATCTTGTGTGTCTCTAGCTAAAGGGATGAGAAGAACTTTAATCCCCCGTAAATTAGGTAGATTACACACACCAGGAAAATTTATTAGAACTGCTTTACTAGACTCTTTATAACACAAAATCTGAAAAAAAGGATTAGGAAATGAAGAAAAAATCAAGCTTCATCGATATATAATATAGCAGTTAAAGATTTGAACGTTTTGCTTTTTTCTAATCTAAGCTTTCGTTACGATAGTGGTCATCAAAAGTATAAATGTTTAAAACGTTACGTTGCATATTATGAAATTTTATGGCACAGGATAAGGTTACAGAATAAATGTTCTGCCCTTAAATACAACGTAATACAACGTTAAGCTTTTATACAGGGGGGTGGGTTCAGGTGATCAAAACCAAAAAATCGTTTGACCTTTTAATTCGTTTAATCAAACGTGCCCTATTTAGATAAATGATTTATTTTGGTTTAAGATCTTCAGTGTACATATTTTATTTAATATTTGAAGCATAATTTGTTTTAGATTAAATTATTGAATCAGTTTCTCATTAATAAAAGAAATTAAAAAAGGTTTTCAAATCGGATTTTCTTGGGACACCCTTAATGTATATAGTTATATATATATTTATACATTTATTCATTCATAGTGGGAAGCTTTTCTGTAAATAATCTGCAATATCAACAGATATAAAGACACAACGATGTAGCATCAACTATTCCTTTTCTTCAATATTTCAAAGATATATATAAAATACACACATCACACAATAGTACAAAAAAGGAAGGGGTGTAAGGGAGAGCGTTTCTTTATATGACTGTCGCTTTAAACTTCCATTTGAAGAGGGACATATTTGATTGACAACGGAACCCTTTATCTATAGGAAAATACCATAGTTTTTTTTAGCTTAAATTGTTTGAATCTGACAATTTCCTCAATGGTTTCTGAAGCAGAAATGTGCAAGTCACATAATAAAGAAACAACAATTAAAAATGAGTTTTAGATAAAATATGTAATCTTGAACAAGCAAAGTTTTTAAAAGGTGCTTTTGTGAATCGGACATGCCACTCGCTTAATTAAAATAAGCGTTTCAATACGGTTCTTTTAAACCCGACCATACAAGCATTATTTGAAAAAAAAATCGTTCAACTGAAAAGAATTTATTACAAATATGAATTTCTCAAGAATAATTGCACGTTTTGAACGATTGCAGAATTGTAATCCTATAAATGCTTGGGGGGGGGGATGTATCTATCTGGTTCAACCAAAAAAGCTGCACATTTTTTCCGTCAAAACTAAAAGTGTAAATAAAACAAAAGGTAAGAATAGATAGATATTTGCTAACGATTCTAAAATTTCATTAAGATCAGTCTGACCAATTGAGAGATATAACACAGTTAAAAATTGCAAATTACTTAAATGCATTTCTTTCTTTTGAAAACAATTTACCGCTGTATTTTTTAGATATGTTTATAGATAGTCTTGCTTCAACAGTTACACTGGAAAAAGCTAAATTGAGAATTTGTATAATCTTATTTTGCAAATTTTCTTCTTTTCCATGAGTTCGATTTACGAAATTTTTTTGTAGATTTTTTGTTTTAAGAAATAAACAGTGGATTTTTTTCTGGACCCACGTCTCCCCTTACTCCGCCAAATTTTTTTTATAAAAAGTTGTCAACTAGGTTCTTTAGATAAACCTGAGATTTTTGGAATCCACCCGTTACAATTAAGTTTTAACAAAATTTTTTTCAATAATCTATTTGTTCTAAATTCCTTAGAACTTTATCCATTTTAACAAGATTGTCAGATTGTAAGAAACGATAAAAAATCTATTATTTTTATTTAAAAACATTTAGTTACACCGATGTTAACATTTTTCATGATACAATGGCAAATGTTTAAAATTTTTTTTTTGAAAATTAGAGATTCGATGAAAATGATAAAAATTTATTTCTATCATTTTCATCGAATCTCTAATTAATTTACTTAAACATAAAAAAACTTCTTCTCTAAAGTAAAAAAGTTTCTAAAAAGATAGAAAATGTTAAAAATTTAATTAAATATTTCTAGAAACAGACAACAGCTGAAAATCATTCAACTCATCTCATCTTTCTTGCTTTTATTTACAAACAGTCCTGGTCTCAGCAAGCTTTCACTTTCGATCCTGATTTCATGATTTACATATAAGTTTATTGTTTTTTCTCTGTAATACTTTTAAGTCAGCGGATGCGTTGAGAAACTGCAACTTTTTTCGTATGCCTAAACATGAACATTGTAAACAACAAAAGCACTTATTTTCCAGTTTAGTTTTTAGAAGAAATTGATATCTTGTTAGTTTGTTGAATATTTTATAATTCAAACATTGAACTTTTGCTGGGTATCTATAACTTATTTAGAAACAATGCAGATATTGTTTATCTTAGTTCTTTCCCCAATTTTTCACATTTATCTTTTCCACTCTAAACATACATGTTTGTATATGTATTTATATTTATCTTTTCCACTCTAAACATACATGTTTGTATATGTATTTATATTTATCTTTATGTATTTTTTTTTCCAAAGATATATTTCAAAAATAAAAAATGATAATTTAAAAATGTCTTGATAAACGATTCCTACAAATAAATTGAAGCTTTATAACGTTACATTGAATGAAAATATGTTTAATTTTATTCAGTTGTAATAATTAATACATATTTCAAGATATCAATATGATTTTCAAGTTTAATAAGTAATTAGATCAAACAAATTAAATCTTTCATCATTATTGATAAGTTAAAGTATGTAGAAGCCTAAAGGGCCGTTAAGTAAAGACAGCATATAGATCAAATCAAACACTAGTTTGATAATCCATATATCTTTAAAGCCTAATGTCGTGGACCTTTGCTATTTGAAAATATGAATATTGCAATGATGTACAGATAATAGTCAAAGTTTGAAAACAAATGGTTCACATCCTTAGGTTGCAAAGATATCAGGATCAGATAAACTTAATATGTGTAATATGTTCCTTTCCGTATTATTTTTAAATTGTTTTGATTAGTTTAGGCTAAAATTATTGTTTAGTTTCTGCCAGCAATTGTAATAGTCCTCATCAATCTTGTTACATGTTTTCTCAGACCACTAAAATAAAAATAAAATTACGTTCACATTATTTAATTTCATCTTACTAAACATACAAATAACACAATTCTAATTTTTCAATGTATAGTAGTTGAACTGAGATTGCAGTATTATTGAGAAATTTTTAGGCTTCATTTTAGACCTATCAGACATTTTACGGTGGATAATTGCAGAAAAGAGCGCAAATTAAACATTTAAAATTCTCATTGATTGTCAAATTTGGAAGGATGATTTGAGAATCGGTTTTATAAAAATGATTCGAAAACGACGAAGAAAAATGTAACACCATTTCTACAGTAAACTAATTAGATTTTTAGGAACATATTTCTCATTAGAAATTTGTCCATAAGTCAATGTTAGCATAAATTGTTTCTTTTTCATCATTATTATTTGATAATACTGCAATCTCAGTTTAATTACCATACATTGCCAGTCACTCCCTTTAAATGAGATTCATTTTTTTATCTAAACCCCGAATTTAATCTACAATTGTGTATAAAGCTGGCTTAAACAAGCAAATGGGAATATCGGTGTTTGAATTTCAAGATCCTTATGTGCTAAACAACATCAGTATAAATTTTCGATTTTTCATTTTTTGTTTTTATTTATTTATAGAAGATATTGTTCATCTGTTCTTTGACCTTAATAAAGTATATAAAAAGAAGTTTATTATTATAGATTTAACGTTTCATTAAACGTTTTTGAATAATGTGTTTGGATAAATCTAGTTTTGACAAAGATCGCTTCAGCCTGTGACACAAAAACATATTGTCATAACATCCTTTTTGATACTTTTACAAAATTGTTAAAAATCACCTTTGTAAGTGCAAGCTGATAACTAGATTCAAACATGAATGCTTGAGTTCCCTCGGCGACCTGTAATATAAACTTACGTTAAACTATAATCTTTATAAAATGAATGACAATTGTCTGCATCCACATAATTTGATTTCTATTTCAAAATCCACCAAACATAGCGTTAAACATAAGGTTTAAATAGCAAATGAAATTTGTGTCATTTAATGGGTAAAAATGGATTCCAACTTCCAAAGTTAAAAATCATTGACTTTTAACCAGGACCCCTATTTATACTTAAATGGATGTTTGCGAAAAATGAAAGTGGGTATAGGCTTACGTCGAAAAATTATCTTACTTCTATCTGTTGCGTCTTTAAGAAGAAACAAGTTTTAAACAAATTCGTTGCATTCGTATCTTATAGTTGATATGTTATCATTTTTAAAAGATTTTTTAAAAAATAATATTTCGCTTTCAACTTGTTTACACGGCCGGTGCTAGATTTTCAAACATTCCTGAGAAATATGAAACAAGAATAAAAGTAACTATCAGATCATAAAAAAAAAATGTTATGAAACATCAACTATAAACGAATGCATCGAAAAACTATCCATGAATAAGGTTGTAGTATCTGATGGATTTTTTAGGAATTAAATTGATTTGTTTACGCTCAGAGTCGTATGTTGCAACTTTCTGAATTTGTATGGACGCTACGTTCTTCAGTATACGTCTTTTTTTATCAATTTTCTCCTTATAGACGCAACAGATAAGATTGGTAGCGATCACCATCGATAATTTGTCGACGTAAGCCTATACCCCCTTTCATTTTCGCAAACACTCCATTAAAATAAACGATGAATTTAAAGGAACTGTATTCAAGTCACCCTCTTTTTACATTGTGGCATGTCACGTCTAATTCACATCCAATTCCAGTGTCGTCAATAGCTTCGTCTAATTAAGAATAAATGTGATTTATTTTCTCTAAACAGTATTTGATACGGGAAAAATGAAGCAAACTTTCCAAACTTAGCTTTTTTCAAGGTAAACAACTATATTTTCCCCGTAATTGATCAAATAAAGGGTACTCTTGTGAATCGGGTATTTCCCACTTGAAATGAAAGGTTCGCGAAATTACAACCGCAGTCACGTTAAACCCTTGACATTTTTTCCTCAACTTAAAAATCTTAGCATTCCAAGTTTGTTTAAATGTTTGTGTTTGAAATACTTTGAAGATTGCTAAATCCACTGATAACAAAATTTACAGATTTTAAACTTTAGGCGGAAATAGCTTACGATGAAGTTTGCACAGCACAGTACAGTGTATATGTATATTGTATGTACAATATACTGATGTACAATGTATTGTATATATTTACACTGTGTTGTATGTACACTGAATTATGTATGTAAACTATATTTTATTTATATTGGTAAACGCATAGTTTTTTACATTGCATTGTTTGTACAATATTAAGTATATTTGTACAGCGTACAGTTTGCATGTATACTTTACATTGTTAAATATGTATGTGTAAGTGTATAACAGTGTACTGCTGTTTGGGGAAGAATGTATACAAAACCCTTTCCTGGCACGTTAGGAGCACTGGCTTCCTTATATTCCTGTCAGTTAATCTTAAAAGTTAAACTTCTAATCGCCCAGTAAACTGAGAGGCGCGCGGTGGAACAGTATATGAATAGTTAAACTTATTCGCTTTATTATTTTAATTTGGTTACTGTTAGTACTGTTGGTACTTACCCCGTTGTATCTGTAAATGTTTTCGTCAATGGAAGATATAGAAAGGGAAATGTTAACTTTTAAGCTGTCAGTTCTTTCTATAGTGATTAGAATCTAGAGACGTTTCAGTAACATCATTAGGAGACATCCAGGGCATTCAATATCCGAGCTTCGATGGGGGAATGGGCGGGGGATTGAACTCCCGCATTATTATTTTTGCACTTAGAGTTAAGAAAGAGGAGTGTGATGCATGTTAGAAGTTAATAGCTTAGATAGTTTAAGTGCTTTAAAAAATTGTTCAAGAATTAAGCCAGAAAAAATGTAAAAATACGAGGATATACGAGTATTGATCTGAATATTTTAAACGTAAATAGGAAACGTGAAGAGGTTTATTACACTTGTACAACGAGTTTTTGTGTTATGAAGAAAAAAACCTATGGTAGTTTCTCTGGTAAAGTGGCTTATAGATTGTGACTAAAAAATTAAGGAAATTGTCAAAATTGAACACTTTTCAAACTAGAAAATCGGCGATATCTTAAATATTTTTTTCCTGATAGAGGTTTAAAGGATACCGTTGCATTGTGAGAAACGTTCCTTATTATGTAAAGAGTTTCTTGAAACTAAAACGACAGTTCCTTTAAACTGTAAAGTGTCAAGTGTGAACTAAATAGTTTACCTTGATTGCCCCTCGTACTGTCTCTGACCAGTCCTTGAAACAGTCAGCATCAGGTCCATGAGGAGTCATCATAGAGTGCAGAGTAGCACCACCTAGATAAGCAGGTTAGACGATATGGGTGAGCCATTTTTCTAAGCCCATTTTACAGAATCAAAATAGTATTCCACATGAAATTCCATGGTGGTATGTTTAAAATATACAATTGACAAATTTTTCTAAATTTTTATTTTCTCTTATACTAGTAATTTTTGATCATTAATCCCCATTTAAGACAGCCATTTTTGATATTTGTAAAAAATGCGTTGAATAAACATGTCTTACTTATCCAAGTAGAATACTTTTCTGCTTCTGCTGCTGTAAAATCGAAAATCTAATTTCCCAATTCAAGTTTTTCTACCAATATGTTTCCACACATCTTTTCCTTTAAACTTATATTTTCCCAATTTGTCTACAAACACATACATTTTTTACGATTTTTCTAACACCAATTTCAAATTGTTTAATTTTCCTAATAATAATTTTCAAAAATACTTTTTTCAATGTCATTTTCTTAATACCATTTTATGGAAATAACTTTCTCAATGTTATTTTCCCACTAGCATTTTTCCCACACCCTTTTCATCATATATCCTTAATACCACTTTACTTATTTTATGCTACCCTGCATAGTACATCGGTAACCAAAAAATTCTGCGAAAAAGGAAGAAAACATACAAGTTTTTTATTTTTTTTTTCAGCAAAAAAGTTTTATAATTAGCTTTGAAATCCCCTATTTAGTAAAATGGTCCTGTTTATACTTCAAAGTCGTCATAGTTTTCCAATGTTTTCTGGTTCTCACTGTACCCTCATATAGAAATTAGTAAGTAGTAGTACCTGGGTTAAATCCAGATTCTTTAGCCTCGTATCTGGAAATACAATCGGTTTAAAATCGTTTATCACAAGCCTGATGATTATTATTTAAGAATATTGCAATTTATAAATAATTATTGACAAAAATAAGTATAATTATCTACTTATGGGGACTGTAAGCCTAGTTTTAAGGACACAACCGGTACCCTCGATCCTTCTTTGCTTGAAAAGTTGAAGGACCACATTAAAATATAATTTGCATTCACGTTGCATGATTTAACCAAATAAATTACCAACAATAAAGAAACTGTAGGTTATAGCATGCATTTATTATTCACGTAAAATCCACGTACATTTCAATTACCATGTTTCCTAAACAACAAATGTCTAACATTTACATGCAAAATACGGAATTTTGTTAACAGTGTTGTAAAATTGTATAAGATAAAACTAATTTTAACACCATATAACTCTTGAGCAAAGAAAGACATACAACTTAATAATATTTGTTAGAATGTAAAGATTCAGTGCAAGCATCTTAAAATCGACAAGAAAAATGTTCAGAAAGTGACTGAAAAGAAATGTTTTTTAAGTTAAGTTTAACCCTATTCCTGCTGGGGGGGGGTCAATTTGACCCCCCCTGTAGTTTTTTTTACATAACTCAAAAAGTATTGGTCTGAGGCTGTTGAAATTCCTACATACCCAAAGCCCTCCCTTTAGGCCTAAAACCGGGCTTTAATACTAACTGCCTGAGTCCTCAGGCACACTGCCTGAATGACTGCTTTTTCCTGTAACAAACTAAATCTTTGTGTTGACCCACTTCCACTTGTCAGATTTTGATAAAATTTAGCTTTTTGGAAAGCCTTTGACATAAGGAAACGAATTGCACAAGTTTTGCGAACAAAAAATTGCACATTTTTTGCAAACAACCTGTCAAAGGAAATTTGAACATTTTTAGTTTTTCTTGAGAAATAAGGTTATTTAAAATTTTGCAAAAATTTTTGCATATTTGAAATGGCATGGTCAAGGGCTTTTCAAAAATGTATAATTTATCATTTTTTGGACAAATTTTTTTTTGCAAACATTTTTACTTTATAACTGGATTTTGCGATAAAAAATTCAATTTTTGCAAATTTGCAAATTTTTTTGCAGATTCTAAAAGTAGAGCACAAAAGCTTTCCAATAATGTATCATTTGTCATATTTGGACATCAAACATGGGATTTAGAGGGGGGTCAAATTGACCCCCCCCAGCATATCCTGGTTTTCAAGTACCCCAGCAGAGATAGGGTTAAGGATAAAATTACTCTTAGTAAGAGCGCAAAAGTAATTTGGATTTTGGCTTGCACTGTGATTCTTTACCAGATTCGAATATTCGGAAGTTATCTTCCGCGTGACAAAATGCAAAAGAAATTTTGCGCTTTTACAACCGATTTTACCACTCACAAATAAAAATTGTTGATTTCAAATAAATTCTAAATTAAATACATATCTTATCTCAACACTCCATGCTGAAAATCAATGAATTTATTTAAACGTACTTACTTTCCCAAAATAAGTCCCATGAATTCTGACATGCAGTTTCTGTGGTAGTATGGGGGTCGGAAGGTATTCTCAGCTAAAAAGAAATTTTTTTATTCTGTGTTTATTTTTTTTTGCGCAAAATAAATATTTCAAGGGGCCATCAAATTACTACGTTTTTTCCTTTTTGGATTTACAATATATTATTTCTTCTAGAAGCAATAGTTTTTAGAAAATTATTTCAATGGTTTCTGCTGTTAAACTCAGTTAGAGAAAATAATCTATTTTTATATAAATAAAATGTACTAATTGTTAAATCATTTTTGTACAGACAGCACTGGTTGAATGAATATTGTTGTGAACCAATCATTTGAAATTTCTTTTAAAGTCTTTATAATATTATTTTAATATATTTTCTTCTGTATATTTATATTGTTTTATTATTGTATTTCCATCAATTAGCTTCTTAGCAATTATTATCAATGTACTATGATTCCTTAAAAGCATAAATATACCAACTCCTTTGTATTTTCAGAAAAGTGAAAAGATTTTGTTGGGAATTACTGTACACTGTACAATTACAACGTGTTACCTACAAAAATTAAACATTAATGACAACATAAAATAGAAAGACGGGCAAAAGCCTTCATTTGCCCGTCAAAAGTTTATTTTATTAATTACAGAATAAATAAAGAAAAACGGAATAAATTCTAAGCTAGGGACTGTAAGCATTTTTTCGAACGACACTCTATGCAAAGACGGCTCGGCAATGTCCGATTCACACAGCATCCTTGAAACTATTATCTGATCATTTAATTCTTATGATTTTTTATATTTTCCTGCAGTAAAGAATTTAACCATGAATGAAAGTTATCACAAAAATGAATATCATTTAAATTTAAATTTCAATTTTAAACTAATGATATTAACGAGTAGTCGATATTAACACCTTAAATCCCTTTTGCTGGAGAACTAATGTAAAGGGAAAAAGTTATTTTTGAAAATCAAAACAAGTTTGGATGTACAATGGATGAATTACGACGTCGCAAACTCATCCAAGTAATTTCGCAAAATTGTATTCTTTATGTCTATAAAGATTCGATTGGGGTAACAGAAAAAGCTGTAAAAGATATGTAATAATGGTATTTCATTTAATTAAGATACATTTACTATTAGTTTTTTTTATTCAAAGAGAATTAAGTAAAATGGTATTTCATTTAATTAAAAATAATTTAATAGTGTTGCCTTTCATTAAATATCTTAATATAGTAAACGACAAAAATAACTGAAATAGGTAAATAGTTATACATTGAACAGTGCAATTTTTCAAAATAGAGGAACTAAGTTTATGCCACAAACTAAAATGTTCAAATCCCTATTTCTTTGCAACCTGATATCGAGTACACCTTTGAATTTTCAAACTTAGATTATTTGATCTAAATCAGAGGTTAAAATGACATTGGATCGTAAAGAAAAAGGGATTAGAAAATCAGATTTTGTGAATATCAGTTTCTTTCTTAAATTGGTCAAAATTGGCTTCTGGCCTTTTATTTTCAGCATTGGAATCAGCGATCGTCATATTTTTCAAATCCATGGCATTAAACATAAATTTGTTGATTTGATCCAAGAATGGTATGCAAAAAGAAAATTTTGCCTGGAAAAAAATTTTGGACAAAAAAATGTAACAAAAATTCTACTGTTAAATAATTAATTATGAATAAGTAATTCTGGTGAAAGAACCTGTCAAATCATTCGTTGGGATGTTTAGAAAGATGAAAATTTCCCTGTATGATAATTGAAGGACTGCAGTATGGTTTTGGTGAATTATATTGGCGTACAAAGCCTAGGGGTGTCAGAAATGATTTTTTTTGCATTTTTTTGAAAACGTCCATTAAACCTAAAAAAGTTTAATTTTGATAAAACTTTTTGTTCTGAATAATTACAAATATCTATCTAAAACTTTCTTAAACCGGCATATTTTTTCTATATTCATTTAGTTAAGAGTTTGAGTTAAAATAAGTATTAATAAATATTGCTTTATATCGAGTAGATATCCTTGTACATATCGATGTGAAACCTTTCAGAAAGTAGGAAAGATTCTGCAGAAAAAAGTTGCCAAACCAAACAGAATTTTTATTTTGATCACAAATATTTAGAACTTATATAGAAGCTTTTCTGGGTTGCACTTTACTCTAGTTTTGCATTATTTTCATTTGTGTATAACAGTATAAAAGAGGTTCCGTTGAGGNAATGTTAACTTTTTAAACCCTGGTATCCGTGTATTACAGTGCAGTGATTTTAGTAATAGATAAATTTCCTGTACCTTCCCGTGGGCACTTTACCTTCTTTTACCTTCCTTCCTTACCGTACCTTCAAATACCATCCTGTACCTTTCTATACCTTCCCGCACTTTCCAGTACCTTCCCGTACCTTCTTTTACCTTCCTGTACCTTCTTTTACCTTCCTGTACCTTACCATACCTTCCTATACCTTCCCATCCCTTCTTTTACCTTCCCGTACCTTCCGATACCTTCTCATACCTTTCCATACCTTCCCATACCTTCCCGTACCTTCTTATACCTTTACATACCTTCCCATACCTTCCCGTACCTTTCCATACCTTACCGTACCTTCCTATACCTTACAGTACCTTCCTAAACCTTCCCGTACCTTTCTATACATTCTTGTACCTTCCTATATCTTCTCATAACGTTCCATACCTTCTCATACCTTCTCATACCTATATATATATATATTATTTATAATGTAACTTTTCGTTCTATTATAATTACAAAAACCTCAAGATTAAAAGAATAATAAATATTCGAATTCAATAGTTTATAAGTTATACACTAGTTCGAGAGATTACTTTAAAATATGGCAAATGTTGTATAAATTTCCAAAATGCCACCCATACCTTTCCATACCTTTCTAAACCTTCCCATACCTTCTTTAAACCTTCCCATACCTGCTCGTACCTTCCCAAACCTTCTTATATGCATTTATTCTGTTTAAAAGGGAAGGGGGCAGGAATAAGGGGAAAAGGGAAATTGTGGAGTTTTGTGAAATAGCATACATGAAAAAGCAGAACAAGCAAATTATTTATGTACTTATGTTTAAAATTAGTTTCTTTACCTTTCTCTATAAACTGTGGAAGCTTGGAATATAGATTTTTCTCTGACAGAGGAATATCCATCTTCTTACAGATATCCTCTGCATTAAAGAACTCAACAGCACAGACATTTTCTTTATTAAGTTTCCTCGTAAATTCATTGATGATAACCCGCATTCGCCAGTCATAAATAGGAGTTACAAAGCTATGACTATCATCATAGCTATGCTTCAAACTAGGATTCATACAGGAGATGAACAAACACTTGGGTATCTCTGCTTGATCTTCATCTCTCTTGTCACCAACCTGTTTGGGTATCTCTGCTTGATCTTCATCTCTCTTGTCACCAACCTGTTTTCTCACCCATCTCTTCAATGTTTCCACCATCAATAGTGTTTTTCCCGTTCCATACTGTCCATACAGTAGAACTCTTCTAGGGAGATCGTTAAACAGGAAGGATACTTGTTCCTTGTTCCAGAACAGCAGGCTTGTTATGGATCCAGCTGGAGCATTCTTAAACTCCTCATAGTTGTGATCATTGGTGGGAGATAACGTGGCATCAACTCCAAGTCCAATAGCTTCCGCTTCTTCCCCCAGGAAATTCTTTAAAGTTTCTTTATTGAGATTTTTCCGTTCAGTACCGGCATTTCAGCAGGAAGGTCCTATCTCTCTCTCTCTCTTTGGTATGATACCTGTCCCCAAGGTGGCCCCTACAGCTGTTGCTATGGGGCGAGATAAACACAACCTTTAGTTAACATACTTGACAATGAGTTTTACTCATCGAGTTCTGGGATTATATAGGGAGTGTTTACAAGCTGGTGTAGAGGTGGAGCTAAAACTGTGGTTCAGAGAAGGTATTGAGTACTTCAATTTCTCAAAATTGCAAGCTCCATGGTCTCAGTCCTTAAGAACCCGAAGGAGAAGGAGGAAAAGAATAAAGAGGAGAACATGTGAAAACACAAACCACAATGTCACCGCCCCGTTGGAGGAGAGGTTCATGAGAGCCCCCCAGTCCGAGGAGAGGTCCGTGAGAGCCCCCCAGTCCGAGGTGAGGTCCATNAATCTCGGGATTTATTCCAAATCTTATTTTTTCCTCTGGAAATCTGACATTTTCTTTTTCCAGGTTTATGGTTAGAACATTCTTCACAAACCAATCTGATGCTTCGTAACAAGTCAAAACTTTAGTCTCTCCGCCTCCGAAGGAGAAAGACTTTTTTTGTTCGTTCATAACTTTATTTCATCCTTCAATTCATGTTTAAACTAAGTGTTGGAGAAATCTTTATCAGTAAAGTTTGTTTACTTACAAGTATATGAAACATTGTTAAAATGAATGCGTATTTTATAAGAAAGATAACCTTTAAAAAAAGTATACTAAAGGGACTGTAAGCGTAATTTCAAAGATGGCAATGTCCAATTCACAATGGTACCTTAAAAGCGTTGTCTGATCAAGCATGAACTAAATATGAATTTTTATAAAGAGAATTTTAAAAAAGGGACTGTCCACATATTTCCAACTGATCCTTAATTATAAGTGCGTCATGTCATGTACTTTTCAACCCTTTGTATTATTAGGATGATAAAAGATTTAAAGGAATCTATTTTCGAGTTTTCATTAATAATTGGAGACTACTGGAGAGTACTGTAGTATTCTAAATCCAGTGGAGAGAAAATATTTCTACGTGAGAGCTTTTAAATTCTTTTTAAAACTAAATATTTTTATTTTTCGTATTACAAGATAATAATTGAATTACATACTATATATTGTATAGTATAGAACGGAATTTACATCTGTGAATTTAATGTGGGTTACTAATTTGTAACAAAAAAGCAAACTGTTTTTAAAATTGATCGTGCGCCTGTTAATATATAAATAACAGACACTGAAAGATTACATAAGTTAAAATAATAACGACATCTTTATAAATAGTGTGGGTCGACTTTTTTCGTGTAAAAATACCAAAGTTTGGACACATAATGTATAACAATGACGACAATCTTTAAGATACTTAAGAAATCAAAATGTAACATATATAGAATGACATCTTTAGAAACAGTGTGGGTCGACGTTTTTCGCGTAAAAATATCAGAGTTTGGACATAATGTATAACAATGACGACAGTCTTCAAGATACTTAAGAAATCAAAATGTAACATATTTAAAATGACATAGTTCAGACATAGGCTGTACTAAAGACGACATTTTTAAAACAATTGAGAATTCATAGGTGTACATATCCATCTATATTTCTGACGAGATACTGTGGGTCGTCGTTTTTCGAGTATTATTACCCTGGATAAATTCTTGTATTCTTGTATATCTATGATTATTACATAGATCGGTTATAATTCTTGTTACTGACGACATTATTTTTAAAAGAATTTATGGAATTGAGAATGAACATAGTTTCATAGGGATTTTATCAAAGTAGGAGATCCTTTTCGATACTTAAAACGTCATCTTTTAGTACAAGTAGAGAACTATTTTATAACATTTTAAAGATTTTGAAAAAATGGTTTAAACCCGGTCATTAGTCAGAGAATCAGGCAAATTTGTGACAGTTCACATCGATCTCCATAGATTGGAGAGGATGATGCCGTTCATCGTTTAGAGTAGTTAAACCGTTATGGTGGTTATACCCAGAAATGATAAATTTATGAAAATTAATTCAAGGGGAAAAGTCGCAGTGTAGGCTTTCTTTCTTCTCGTAGGAACATGCGCTAAGGCTCCGTGCCTCTCGATGCTTTAAATATTTTTAAATTTGTGGTTTAGACCGAAATACAGAACCCGGACATTATCTCATGCCCGGACACTTTATAACGTGACACCGGGGGCGGGCCATGAAACTTTTTGAAAAAAATTTACTCGTTGAAATTTTCCAGTTAATATGGGTTTAAATATTTTTGTTTTTGTTGTTAGGGTGAACAAAAATAGGGTGAACTGGGAGTGGGAAGAGCTTCTTTGATTAGATTTTTAAAAAAAGGTTCTTCCACACTTGAAACAGGGTTGGTCTGTCACATTTTACATCAGCGACCTCGTGCATAATTTCTTCAAATCTATTTATTGATAATCTATTTCTTCAAATCTATTTATTGATAATCTATTTCTTCAAATTCTCACTGCCTCCTATTTTACTATAGAATTGCATAATGTAAAGTATATTTAAACTAATCGGTTCTTTATGAAGGGGGGAAGTGATACAAGAAAGGGAGGGGGAAGGGTTTAGGACCACTAAAAATAGTCATTTCTTTATTGGTATTTTGTCCAGACATCCGGGGATTCAGATTCTACAATTGTCAGGTGCAAGAGATTAGATCTATGGGAAAGAATAACAATTCCATCGGATATCTATTTTTAACGTTGAAATTGTTAGAAATCAAGGATTCAGGAAAACAGGGATTCACTAAACATACATATGTTCGCTATAGCTTGCCAAACGGTTGGACGATATTGGCTGAAATTTTTAGGAAATAGGGGGTTACATAGCCCTTAGGTTATAAAAAATTCAAAAAAATGTTTTCAAATTTAAAAATTGTTTTTCAAAGTGTTTTTTAAAATGTCACGTGCAACGCCGGGCATTCTTGACTTCAGCTGAAAACTCGGTAGAACCACGGTAATGTTCCTAGCTTTGTTTTAAAATATGCTATGCTTAGTAAGTTGTCTTTAATAGATCAAGTTTTGTTACACTTTATTTTAGACATTTTTCAGAATAAAATCAAAATAAATACCGATCAGTCGGCTCTGATTATTCATTATTTATGGGTATACCTGCAGGCGCGTAGTGGAGGTTTAGCCTAGGGGGGTGCATTTTTGTTTTTGTGCACCACCCAAAATATAAAGTTTAAAATCTTTATTAATCTACCTGAAGGCTGACTATTAGTCATCTGACCAAAATTACCATTTTAAATGAAACCCCGCGAAAAAAAATATTGTAAATAAGATTTAGGTACAAGAAAGAATTTGAGAAATAATCATAAAATGGACAAATTGTGACATTGTCGATTGAAAAGAAAAGTAAAAAATCTAAATATATATGTAAGTTTACTGTTTAATGAATTAGAGCCTGCCTCTGGCTCTAGGGGGGGCCTAGGGGGGTGCATGTCTAGGCACGGGGGTCCCCCCCCCCCCCCCTCCACTACGCGCCTGTATACCTGTAGTCTTGTTGATTTAGCAACAACTTTATTTTCAAGCTATAAACTTTAAGTAATAGAAACATAGTAATGCCACCACCATATAATTAAAAGTTAATCATTTTATTTTTCTATTTATCCGATAAAACAAACAAAACCTGCATTTTACCTAAAACATGAAAAATTATAAAATATGTTATATTAAATGTAATGTAAACAATAAATATATTTTTTCTTTCCTTTACTTTACCTTTTTTATAATTGGGGGGAAATATTCCCACAACCTCTAAATTTGGAGGTTTTTAAATATTTTCTACTAAAACACCTAATTTTGTATGGTTATGTTATAAATAATAAATAAATAATTTCTTACATTACTTACTAACTTTAAATCAAATCTTTTAAAAAAACTTAAAATACAGATTCTAATTATCATTAAATTGTGATTGTAAGTTTTAAACTACCAGTAATATAAATAACAAATGTTAAGCTAAGGGACTGTTTGTGTAATTTTAAGTGACCCTTTATAAAAAAAGATGCATGTCCGATTTACAACGGTACCCTTAATCTGATAAATAATTCGGAAGATAACGTAGTTTTTCTACAACAAGTTAACAAGTTAAAAGTGAAACCAAATTGAAAAATATCATTTTTCAATAAACAAAACATTGATGGGTGAGTTCATTTAAGAATTCAGCCACTTTTTTAAAAAATCAGTAGGCTGTACCCTCTCCGATTTTTTTTCAAACTAAATACATTAATAGACCTATATAAGACATGACATAATCCGATATATTTTTNTGGTGCGGAGTACCAAGGTCACAAAGTTGTGCCCTCGCCATGAAGGTCAATCTATTCAAACTGTCATAGCGTTTTTCTTTATTAAAATATTGACTTGATTTTGACGCCACTTTATAGACAACAAAAAAGGGCTTTATTTTTTAAACATAAAAGTCCGTAGTAGGGGGTAATTAAAGTGTAATTAACCAAGAAAAACTGTTTATAAAAAAAATAGAAGACATATTCGATTTTCTTCAAAGGAATTGAGTCTTTGTCACAAACTATAAATTTTCTAATCTCTATATCTTCGTAATCCAATGCCGTAGACCTAAGATATTTCAAATTATGAACTCTGTTAGATGAAAGAATCTAAGTTTGAAATATCAACGGTTCACACCATCAGGTGGAAAAAATATAGGTATTACAAAATCAGAGTTAGTTACAAAGACTCAATTCCTTTATATATATTACTCCTAAATGTATGAACAAAATTCGGTCAAAATTTCATGCTTGAGAAATGATCGGTTTAGTAGTTATTTTAAATTTTGTGACCATAACTCGTCAATTTTGTAGTGATGTCTGTAAAACCCGCAAACAGATTTTCATAAATAGTTTTTAGGTTTTCCGCATGCTTTAGTATAATTTGGTAACAAAACACATTTTTGTTCGAAAATTCTTATTTTAATTTGAAAATTTATCTCATTTTACTGTGATCGGCGCGCTGGCTTGTTTTATATTTGTGTAAAACCCGCGGTATACACAGATTTTTATCTAAAAGAAACAATTGAAATCTTATATCATTTGGTATTAAAGATTTTCTTCGAAAAACTTTAACATTTTAATATTCATATCTAGATGCAACCTGATGTCGTCGGACTTTAACTTTAACTATAATTGGCCCATTAAATTACATTAGATTTATAGAGTTGTAAATTATCAATATTTTTAATGACAATCGTTTTTATAGATTTCTTCAAGCAGCTTAATCGGGTTGGATTCCAAATTCAACCTAATAACACGTACTGGATTATTTTTTTTTTATAAATTGACCTTCTATGACTTGATCGGCGGGCTAGTCTTTTTTTCTAAATTATTTTTTGTCAAATGATTTATCATTCTTAATTTTTCGTAAAACTTCTTTTTAAGCTTGATTTTAGATTTTATAAACTTTGACAAGTTTTAGTGCAACAGTTTGTTACATCATTTAAAAATATAAAATGTAGGTATAAAAAAATATATAAAAATACTTTCACTTTTATATAACAGTATATGTATTGTAAGTGCAGTTAGGGCTGGGCCTTGTTCGTTTCTGCGTTTACCATGTTGTCTTCTTCTTCATGTAGTCCAAGGAAGCTTGCAGCCTCCTGCGGCTTGCCCTAGGTTAGGTGGGTGGGTTTCGAAGGGCAATTGAAAATGTGGTGTGTATCATGAGGAGTTTGGGCAGATAATTTGTATGTTGTTGTCTATCCTAGACATGTAAGAGTTCAGGTAGTTACTGTATCCTGATCTGAATTGAGATAGTGAGCATCTTTTCTTCCTTGATAGTAATTTTTGCTGTTAACTTCTGACGGCCTTCTGTTGTAGTTTGTCTATTGTTTACCATATCGACATTTCACGTTAACAAATTATTCTGTTCTTTAAGAGACTGCAGAACGAGCATTAATTAAGAACCAAAATAATTTTGGATGAGAAAAACGCCTTTTCCCGTTAATAATCATTATTTTTTACATAAAATTAAAAAATTCATTTAGCGATAAGGTTCATACACAAAATCACTTTAAAGTTTTTACCAATTATGTTAACGCCTTTTTTTGGGTTATAATTGAAACGGTTGTCTATTTTCTTTGGAAAAAAAAGTTTTCTTGTGTAAATATGTACGGTAAAATAAAACCTGTATTTCGATAAAAACATTGGTAAAAACTAAACCAAAACATAAGGAATTTCGGGGGAATTGCGCGGAATAAAATTTAATTGCGCACAAGTAAAAACCACTTGCATTGGAAACTCTAATCGTCGAATGAATTCCTGATCGTCAAAATGATCGGTCCTCGATCTTTTATGACCGTGGAACGATCGGTTCAAAAAATCAATGAAGTCCCCCCCCCCCNAACAAGGTAGGATTTTACTTACTCCTAGGAGGTGGTAGGTAACAAACAAGGTAGGATTTTACTTACTCCTAGGAGGTGGTAGGTAACAAACAAGGTAGGATTTTACTTACTCCTAGGAGGTGGTAGGTAACAAACAAGGTAGGATTTTACTTACTCCTAGGAGGTGGTAGACAAAATTTCAAGTGAGTCTCCATTTACCTCAGAAATACTTTAGTTTAACATATTATCAGTTTTACTATAGTTATGAGAAAGATTTTTATTTTGGGGGAACAGCCGCATTTTTCCGAATAAAATTTGGGGGAACTGCCGTATTTTTCCAAATAAAATTTGACGGAACTGCCGCATTTTTCCGACTAAAATTTGGTGGAACTGTCGCATTTTTCCGAATAAAATGTAGGGGAACTGCCGCATTTTTACGAATAAAATTTGGGGGAACTGCCGCATTTTTCCGAATAAAATTTAGGTGATATTTAGCTTGGCCAAATTGAATATATAAACGAAATTATCAAAGGTTTTCATACTTCTAATTGAATCTACAATCTATCTATGTATTTTTTTCAAAATGTCTAAAAGTATCAAAAAAGATATAACATATAATTCTATTTTGCACAATTAAGGAAAAGCAAAACTAATAATAAAGCATACAGTTTTGATATATTATAAAACATCTCCGATTCTCGTTGAGTGAAAAATCATTTAATGTTAAAAAACCTTATCTTTTCTACATGTTATAAACAATAAAACTATTACGATTTAATTATATTATAAAACAAACAAAAATATTCTAAAAATCATGGCGGTAATTAGTTAGAAAGTAAAGGCTCGCTGACAAATCAAACCAAGGACCAAATCTAATGGATAGCAAGAAATAGCTGAACTGCGTACGGTCAAGTTCAATTATTTCATTCTATTAAATAAAGGTATTGAGCTCTTGTCACAAACTCAAATTTTCTAATCACTATACCTTTGCAACCTGAGGGTATGGACCTTGATATTTCAAACTTATATTATTTGATCTAACAGAATGCATTTTAAAATATCTAAGGTCTACAACATTTGGTTGCAAAGATATAGAAAATCAGAATTTGTGGCAAAGACTCAATTACGTTGGTACCAAGGACGTCTTCAATTTTTTTTCTTTTTCATTGAATTGAGCGATAAAGAAATTTATCTATAAAATATTTCATTTTTTTCAATTTTTTAATTGACTTTTTTAATTTAGACTTTAAACGCTAAACACTAAAATCTCTTTACCCAACTCATAAAAACAAATTTCAAAAGTTTATATATGTCAAAATTAGAAATAATTTTAAAAATTTTAAGTTAAAAAATTTTCACAAAGTAATAAAAAGTATTAAAACGATGAAATAAACTTCACTATTGGAGCTTTTTTCAACCGAAAAAAAACATAAATGCCAATTTTTAGAAATAAATTGAAAACCTAAACAGAAATTCTTTTTTTTTAGTAATAAATCTGGTTAGTTTCAGTTTCACCATGGATGGAGTTCAAATGGTAAATTCAATTTTTTTTAAATATTTGGAATTATTTTCTGATTTTTTTTCTTTAAATATTTGGTATTATTTTCTGATTTTTTTCAGGTTTGCATTTATGGGTTTGGACTAATGAGTGGATGTTTTGAGGTATATTTAATATTTTTGTAAATATGATGAGAACCAGAAAACTCTGGAATAAATAGACGACATTAGACATGAATCATGAATATATTATCAGACAAGGTGTCCCCTAACACATGACACGTTAAATGCTTTTGTGAAAACTAATCAAAACTGTTATATTTCTTGTTTTTTTATTCCAACAATTTTTTTTCAACAGCAGAATTGCAACATTATTATTAAATAAAACGTAATTGTTTTTAATCATTGGTTCATTTCGATTTATTTCAACATCAGTTGCCAATTTTGACCGTCAGGTGGCTCTGAAGTGGCGCAACGTGTTTCAGTACCAAGGTGGCGCATTACATTGAAAAAGCAAGATGTTTATAATCCAAAAGTGGCAGGACAGTGAGAACCATAAAATTCTAAAATAAAAAAATACGACTTTTTATTCAAATTAAAATTGTTATAGTCCAATGAGAGTACATGAGAGACAAAAATTGTACAGTTTTACTATTTTACTGAATAATTAATTTTTCAATTACTAAATACATTTTAATATTTCTTTAATATCGTCATCTTACTTCACAGTTTTTTGTACAAGAATGACATATTGCGAAAACTAAATGTGAGTGTTTTTCTTACCAAGGTTATCCATTGTTAAAGCTAAATTAAAGCAAAAAAAGGTCTATTGTGTTGAGATTTTTAACTCTGTATTTTTCAGTTCAACTTTTCTCCAATAGAAGGACCACCCGGACCCCCTGGTCCACCATTTCCTCCGGGTCCTCCATTTCCTCCTGGACCACCAGGCCCACCGACATCATTTCCACCTGGACCACCTGGACCACCAGGCCCACCAACATCATTTCCACCTTTTCCAATAACATTTCCTCCGTTCCCACCTTTTCCTTCAACTAGTCCCCCTCCACCACCTTTCCCTTCAACTAGTCCCCCTCCACCACCATTTGATTGCAAGGAATCGTTCAATATTATCCAAAAATGTCCAGGAACCAATTTCAATGCACAGCAGGAGAAAATAGTTGAAATATGTAGAGTAAATTTGTTTGTAAATTTGAACAACTTTTTTACAGAAGAGTTTAAACGGATTATTTTTTTTTAACACACACAACCCAAGTTTGGGCTTAAGAAACACTGCACAGTACATCTTAGCCTATTTAACAACTGAAAGATGTCCCTAAAAAGGCCCAAATGATTATTTACTGTAATGCAAACCTTCGCGCTTTTACCTGTTTTAATGACATGTTCTACAAGTGCAATGATGTTTATACAGTTGTTCTTCCATTTTCTCCCCTCAAAGGCTTTTAATTCCTAATTTGATCTTTATTTTGATCTTCATCAAATTAAACAATTTTCGGTATTTTTTTGTCAACAAATGGGCATATCTTTTATTGTTTTTAGTCATAATAAATCCGTTTTTAAACAATATTGATACTGATCAGTGCGGACAAGCCAATTCCGGACCTGAAGCCAGTTCCGGACGTTAACTTAACGTAAAAATTTATTAACCAATGATAAGCGAAAACTAATAAATCCAAGTAATCATTGCAATATTTATACTCTAACATTTACTAAAGTTTGTGATCAAAATGTAAACATGGTCATTTTCCATTGGTCAAACTATCCTTTGTAATTTTTGATTGGTCAAAATGTACTTGGACTTTTTTGAAATTCAAACTGTCTTTAGTTATTGTTAATAAGTCAAACTGTCCTTGATTATTATTGATAGGTCGGATTTTCTTTAGTAATTTTCAATAGGTCAAGCTGTCCTTGGTTATTTGGGATAGGAAAAATCCTTGATTATTTTTTATTGGTAAAAAGTATACTTGATCTTTTTGATAGGTCAAAATGTCTTTAGTTATATTAAATTGGTTGAGATTTCCTTGGTTATTTGCGATGATTTTTAATGTCCTTTGTCATTTAAAATAGGTAGAACTGTCTTGCGATAGGTTAAAGTGTCCTTATTATTTGCAATGGGTTAAATCGAACCGTCATTTCCTTGGATATTTTGCCTTGGACATTTTAGATTGGTCGAACACAAAAATAGGATTACTTCGAAAAAGTGTAATATTTAGGCTGCTTTGGTAAAATCTCCCGATCTATCAGCCTTAGACAATCTACCATTTTGTGGAGCAACTCTCATCAGCGACCAGGTTAATTTAGCTAAAAAACTAAAATTAAGAAGAAAACAAAATTTACTATTAATTTAAACTTTTTTTAAAGAAATGTTTGTTATTAAGAAGATGAATTATTAATAAAAATGTGTCAAAGTTTACTCGTTCTTGCCTCAAAACATTCTTTTTCTCTAATGAGATATCCTTGTTTTTCTTTTTGAAATTAACAATTTTCAAGTACGGTTCATCTGAGAAGGGACAGGGAAAGAAATTAACGGAATCTGCTCACGGTGATAACCAGAAAACAATGGAATAGAAAGACGACATTAAAGCAATATTTAAGTTTATATAGTACAAAGCAAATAGTTTTACTTGCCACTTAATAATCCCCCATAAAGTAAAAAGGGTCTGTTTACACTGCACAACTGTTGTGTCCCAAGCTCATTGGACTTTTTAAAGTAATAATTGAGTCTAAAAGTCGTTTTCTTATTCCAGAGTTTTCTGGTTATCACTGTAACTCTTTCCAAGTTTGAAAAAAAGATATTTGCTTCATTGTTCCAAAGATAAATATTTAAAGGGCACCATTGGGAATCGGATAGATGACTTGTGGAGTTTTACTTAAAAATAAACAAATTTTAGGAAGTTTTGACATCAGCCAGCTGTTCAAAATCCCATCTGATGACATATGTTGTGGTATGTATCTAGTACAGGGTTACCCATAAAGGATGAGACTGTGAAGACGACCCAAAACTCTGAAAATATGACGATTTGAAGCTTTATTTTTGGCTTCTGCATTCAATTAATTATTTTTAAGGTTTACTAAATTATTAAGCACAGAAATAAGCCAGTTTTAGCCTACTAGGAACCCTGATTGCAAGAAAACGGACTGAACAATTTCCGTACAATCGTCTCTGAAGTCTCATTTTTTGTGGGTAATTATGGATCTACACATAGTTTTTATCTATTTATGGCGTTTTGAAAAATCTTTTTGGTTAATTTCTTTAGAGTAAAATCTTTGCATAATCATTAAAGATTTATTTTGGACACAAAGGTGAAATGTTGCAATATTATGATAAAACAAAAACAAAAATAAAGTATAGATATATAGATTTAGTTTTTAGTCAGTACATAAAAAGTTAATCATGGTTGAGATCTCAACATCCAGAAAAATTGTCAAGATTAAAATTATAATCTTAACTTTGAGTAATTCATGAAGAATTTCCATTCTTGGTCTAAAGGAATCTGATTTTATGTAATAACCAACCAACCTTAGCGAGCATACAACTTTTTAAATATGGTATACAGCTCAGATCTATGTGAAGAGTTTAAATATGGTATACAACTCAGAGAAGAGTTTAAATATGGTATACAACCCAGAAATATGTGAAGAGTTTAAATATGGTATACAGCTCAGATCTATGTGAAGAGTTTAAATATGGTATACAACTCAGATCTATGTGAAGATTTTAAATATGGTATACAACTCAGATCTATGTGAAGATTTTAAATATGGTATACAGCTCAGATCTATGTGAAGAGTTTAAATATGGTATACAACTCAGATCTATGTGAAGAGTTTAAATATGGTATACAACTCAGAAATATGTGAAGAGTTTAAATATGGTATACAGCTCAGATCTATGTGAAGAGTTTAAATATGGTATACAGCTCAGATCTATGTGAAGAGTTTAAATATGGTATACAACTCAGATCTATGTGAAGATTTTAAATATGGTATACAGCTCAGATCTATGTGAAGAGTTTAAATATGGTATACAGCTCAGATCTATGTGAAGAGTTTAAATATGGTATACAGCTCAGATCTATGTGAAGAGTTTAAATATGATATACAACTCAGATCTATGTGAAGAGTTTAAAAGTCAAATATCCTATAGAAAAGTCATAGAGCCATAAACAATCCGAAATGATGAAGGACACCCTATATGTAATAAGCACCTTCATTGACCATACATTTTTTGAATAGTAACATCTCAGATCTTTGTAAAGCTTTTACAAGTCAAATAACCAGGAATTACTCCAAACCTCAAACGGTGCTAATGATCGTAGCTGTAAAGTATTGTTTTGTAGCTGGGACAAGATGATTGGAATAATTCAACAGCTGACGAGCGCGTGCATGGTGTTTGCGGCAAAATAGAACACCCCCTTCATGTCCAGGTTACAAACTAATTAATTTGTTCTACAAATAAATGTTACTATTACAATAAACAAACAATAATAAAAAGTAAAAGTGAAATTGTATACACTGAAAAAAGCAAATTTTGCTATGTCTCAATTAAAATTTCAACGTGTGAATGCCGAAAAAATGTTCTCTATTAAAATTCAAAATGATAGATCATTTTTTAATTTATTTATCGTAAAAGCTGTTCATAACCTAGAAATCAAAGAAACAATCGTCGTAATTTTAAGTGACCCCCTCTGGCTTGAAAATGCACGATTCACTTTTTCAAAGAAACCACAAAAGAAAATAGTCAGTTTTCAAAAACAAAAATATCAGTATCTAACTCATTCTTGAGCTTTTAAGTGTACAATTGTGAATCGGAGGTGCCAATTTATTCTAACGGAGGGACGCATGAAATTACGTCAACAGTTTCTTTAAATCTTCAACTTTTAAGCAGATTATGTCAGATTCTTTCAGTTTGGTGAGATCTAACCAATTTGAAATTATTTCAAAACTTATTTATAAACTTTATAAATAATAGAATTTTATTGTTTTAGTTCGAGGATTATGATGATTATGATTATGCTATACTTCGTCTCTGCCACCCTGTCACCTTCTCTAAGGTGAACAGTCCCTTTATTCACAAAAAATAGTTTTTTATTACATTCAACTCTAATTGGGTAATTTATATCAAACCTTCAAGTGTGAAGATGCGACACCAAAAAGGAAAAATATTCATTTTTTAAAGTTGTTTTTAATCAAAGGCTTATGTTGAAAATATTTTGAGATGTCAATTCAATGTTTTGTAAGAAAATTGCATTTTTGATTTGAAAAAAACAATCTTTTAAAGATAAGCTTTTTTCCAAAGGTTTTTTTATTAGATCATAGATATCTAAATAGCTATAAAAATTATGTACAAACATTACTATCTCTTTTTCATCTAAAAAATCCGGCTTCAGATAAACTTAATATTAATTAATATCTTTTAAAGACGATATTACCAGTCTGTCTGCCCGCCGTCAGAGGTCAAGGTAGGATATTTTTATATTAGCTATTCCTATCATTCCGTTGTATATTCAAGTATATGATATTTTTTCCTATCACAATATTAAAGATTCAAGTACCTGATAGATATTTCTATAATTCGGTGAGGGATTCTTGTTTATGATAGCTGTTCAACTAAATCTGTTATAGATTCAAGTATCTGATGGCTATTCCTATTATTCTGTTATAGATTCAAGTATATGATAGTTATTCCTATCACGATATTATAGATTCAGGTATCTGATAGATATTTCTATAATTCGGTTATGGATTCTTGTTTGTGATAGCTGTTCAACTATATCTGTTAAAAATTCAAGTATCTAATAGCTATTCCTATTATTCTGTTATAGATTCCAAAAATCTGAGAGCCATTCTTATTATCATGTTATAGATTCAAGTATCTGATAGCTATTCCTATTATACTGTTATAGATTCAAGTAACTGATAACTATTCCTATCATTATGTCATATATTCAAAAATCTGATAGCTATTCTTATTGTCCTGTTATAGATTCAAATATCTGGTCGCTATTCCTGTCATTCTGTCATAGATTCAAGTATCTAATAGCTATTTTTATAACTCTGATATAGATTTAAGTATCTGCTAACTATTCTTATTATTCTGTTATAGATTTAAGTATCTGATAACTATTCCTATTATTCTGTTATAGATTTAAGTATCTGATAACTATTCCTATTATTCTGTTATAGATTCAAGAATTCCTTTCATTCTCTTTTAGATTTATAGCAGCAAAAAGCTATTCCTATCATTCTGTTATAGATTCAAGTATCTAATAGTTATTCCTTTACATTCTGTTATAGACTCAAGTATCTAATAGTTATTCCTATCATTCTGTTATATATTCAATTATCTGATAGTTATTCCTAGCATTCTGTTAAAAATTCAAGTATCTGATAGCTACTCCTATCATTCTGTATGGATTCTAGTATCTGATAGCTACTCCTACCATTCTGTTATATTTTCAAGTATCTAATAGCTACTCTTATTATTCTGTTATAGATTCAAGTATCTAATAGCTACTCTTATTATTCTGTTATAGATTCAAGTTCTGTATGGATTCTAGTATCTGATAGCTACTCCTACCATTCTGTTATATTTTCAAGTATCTAATAGCTACTCTTATTATTCTGTTATAGATTCAAGTATCTAATAGCTACTCTTATTATTCTGTTATAGATTCAAGTCTCCAATAGCTATTCCTATTATACTGTTATAGATTCAAGTATCTATTAGCTATTCCTATCATACTGTTATTGATTCAAGTATCTGATAGCTATTCCTATTATACTGTTATAGATTCAAGTATCTTATAACTATTCCTATCATTATGTCATAGATTCCAAAAATCTGAGAGCCATTCTTATTATCATGTTATAGATTAAAGTATCTGATAGCTATTTTATAACTCTGATATAGATTTAAGTATATGATAGCTATTCCTGTTATTCTGTTATAGATTCACTAATCTGACAGCTATTCCTATCATTCTGTCATTGATTTAAGTATCTGATAACTATTCCTATTATTCTGTTATAGATTCAAGAATTCCTTTCATTCTGTTTTAGATTTATAGCAGCAAAAGCTATTCCTATCAGTCTGTTATAGATTCAAGTATCTAATAGTTATTCCTAGCATTCTGTTAAAAATTCAAGTATCTGATAGCTACTCCTATCATTCTGCATGGATTCTAGTATCTGATAGCTATTCCTACCATTCTGTTATTTATTCAAGTATCTGATAGTTAGGAGATATTATTGTGACTTTGATCATTGAACTTATTATTGAGATTTTGATCATTGGAGTTATTATTGGGATTTTGAGCATTGGAGTTATTATTGGGATTGTGATCATTGGAGTTATTATTGGGAAATGATCATTGGAGTTATTATTGGGATTGAGATCATTGGAGTTATTATTGGGATTTTGAGCATTGGAGTTATTATTGGGACTGAGATCACTGGAGTTATTATTGGGATTGTGATCATTGGAGTTATTATTGGGATTTTGATCATAAATATTATTGGAATTGTGATCATTGGAGTTATTATTGGGATTGTGATCATTGGAGTTATTATTGGGATTTTTATCATTAGAGTTAATATTGGGATTTTTATCATTGGAGTTAATATTGAGATCTTTTCTTTGGAGTTATTATTAGGATTGTGATCGTTGGAGTTATTATTGGGATTTTAGTTCTAAAATGTTTTGTAGGAACTCACCTGGAAAATAAGGCGACCATTATATCTGGTTGGGGTATATCAGAATCTGGCTTTAAATCAGCAACCGCCACAGAAGCACAGGTTAGAAACTTAAAAGTTTGTTAAATTCGAATTTCATCAATAGCCTGTAAATTAGGAAGACGACTGTCAAATTATGATTTTAAATAGTCCGATGATCATATAATACAGTAATACGCAGCAATTGTGCAGTGAACACAGACCAATTTTGCTTTAAAAATATATTCTTGAGCTAATGGTAAAACTATTTTCTTTATAATAATATCAAATACATGTAAGATTGCCAAAATTTCGTCTTTATATTTCGCCGCTTCTGAAGTTTAACTAGAAACGATACTAGATACTAGTTACGATACTAGATACTATAAGTTACGATACTAGAGTAGATACTAGATAAGATACTAGATACTAGATACGATACTAGATACTAGATACTAGATACTAGATACTAGATACTAGATACTAGATACTAGATACTAGATACTAGATACTAGATACTAGATACTAGATACTAGATACTAGATACTAGATACTAGATACTAGATACTAGATACTAGATACTAGATACTAGATACTAGATATAGATACGATACTAGATACGATACTAGATACTAGATACTTGACACTAGATACTAGATACTAGATACTAGATACTAGATATGATACTAGATACTAGATACTAGATACTAGATATGATACTAGATACTAGATACTAGATACTAGATACTAGATACTAGATACTAGATACTAGATACTAGATACTAGATACTAGATACTAGATACTAGATATGATACTAGATACGATACTAGATACGAATAGTTGAACTTTTCTAATGGTGCACTCTCAGTGACACTAGACAACTGAATTTACTACAGGACTACCCACTAAGAGAAGATTGTACGGAATTTGATTAGTCCGTTTGCTTGCATTCAGGATTCCTTGCAGGCCAAATTTGGCTTAATTCTGTTCTCAATCATTTAGTAAACTAAAAAAATACTAAATTGAATGCAGAAACTCAAAATCAAGCTTCAAATCGTCATATTTTTTAGAATTTCGGGTCGTCTTTACAGTCTCAACCCTTGTGGGTAACTCTCGTTCTAGCTTAAGTTAAAAAGGAGTAATTGGTAAAATGAATATTTAAGTATTCAGTAATCTTTCTCAGGAGCCTACTGTGATTTAAAGGTATCAAGCTCTCAATCCAAAAATCGAAAAGAATTTTGCCAATTATTTCTTAAAAACCTAAGCATAGCAACAAGTGCTTTATAGTGCTAAAGTGTACATGTAAAGGGCTACAGAAAGCGTAAGTAAGTTAGAGCAGTAAAATTAAAGCACAAGGCGCTGAAACACTTTAAAGTCTACCCTGTCTTAAAAATGTTTAAAACTTTTTATGAGCAGCTGTTGAATTTATGTGCTAGCCTCTTACTTTTACAACTAAAAATAACTGAAAAAATTTGAAACAAGATAAAGAACAAGAATTATTTGAAACAAGATAAAGAACAAGAATTATTTGAAACAAGATAAAGAACAAGAATTATTTGAAACAAGATAAAAAACAAGAATTATTTGAAACAAGATAAAGAATAAGAATTATTTGAAACAAGATAAAGAACAAGAATTATTATGTCTGAACATTTTTAGGTTTTTTTTTTCATTTAAATAATTTGATAGGTAACAACTTTGCCCAACGAGGAATGCTGCAATCCAGATTCTACAAAATACGACTGCGCCACTATTACGGATAGAATGATTTGTGCTAAATCTTCTGTGGGTTTTTGCCAGGCGGATTTGGGAGGTAACTACTTTAATTTTGTAAAATAATTTAAGAGCAAAACAAAGAGGCACTTTTTGATAAAAAATGCTAAATACATCTTTCATCAGTTTTAAATTTTTCTTTTTATACAGTTTTAAAAAAGGGTTTTAAGATTCCTTTTTTTCTTATTTTCAACTCATTTATAAGAGAGAAAAATATCCATTTAGAAATTTCAAAAACGTTAAAATCTTTTAAATCAAATTTCACGCAAAAAAACTGATTAAAAAAATACTTGGTAGAGTTTGAAAAAACTGGTTGCTCTAGCCTTGAATCAAATCCTGGCTACGCTATTTTGGGTGGAAAGGCTTTAGAATTACATCTAAAATTCTTGATAAAAAGATAATTACATAAATTTTTCACTAATTATCCAAAGAATAGTTTCAATATTAATTGCGATAAATTTCCGTGCATTCATCAAACTTTTTATAAATATTCGGAGTAAAATAAGAAAATGTCTTAATAAAATCTGAAACCTCAATTTTTGTTTAGGTCCTCTAACCAAAAGGAATGTTGTGAATGGCTCACATCAATTGGTTGGTAAGTGATTATTTTCCTATACATCTAGAAATAAGATGGACTTGATTGTCTGTTTGTTTGTTTCCAATAAACGTCATAACAGCTGAACCTATAACGGGCCCAATTTTTTTAGTTAACTTACATACGCCCCTGGGGAAGGTCAATGAACGTTTTCAAATTTTTTTAGAAAAAATCCATCAATATTAACTGAAAAATCCCCGAAAATCTGTCTGTTTTTATCCATTGAACGTCAAAACGACTGTACCAATTTTTGGAACTCATATGACCACATTTTTAGGCATTGTATCTCGTGGAGCAAACTGTTTAAAGGTAAGAATATAAAACTATCCTAGAAGACGAAATCCCTAAATCCAAAACAAAGGATTAGACTTCCGAGTCGGTTGTCCAGAATTTAATCGGTCTTGTTAATAAATTTCTGGGTTCCTGCAATTGTTAACATGCTTTTTGCTTTTTATAGATATTATATACAGTCATAACCACTGCCTTTATTTTGCGTTTAATATTACCAGAGATATGTAAAGTCGTCTGATTAACTGTCAATTAATTCCGGGTACACAAGCCAGAAACCAAATTTTAACCTCAGATAATTATTTCCTTAAAGCTTTAGGTTGTCTTTAAAGTGAAATTCTTTGTGTATGAAACCCTGCACTTAATTTAACCAAACCAAACAAGTTTATTGGTTTGTTAGAATGATATTCAAGAATTCACTTAGAAAAGAGACAAGTGTCGGTTTTTGTCTTACATTTCTATTTTGATGAACAATCTCTTTAATTTAATTTAATTTAATTTAATATCTATTTGTTGAATTTAATAATTGTTCAGGATTATCCTGCTGTTACAGCTCGTATCACTAATCAACTGGATTGGATTGAATCCAACATGGTTGGGGGGACCTGCCCTGCCGCCTAATCAGCTCAGCTGATATGGGGGGGGGGTGTCTGCCCCCAGCCCCAACTGATCAGGGTGGTGGGAAATATAACCTTTATAACCAGCTCATGACCTGACCTAAAAACCAGCTCTTGATTTGATCGGAGGCTATTGACCTCCCTGATAAGATTGGAGGCCCCTGACCTTCCTGATAAGCTTCGCTGATCGGAGGCACCCCCTATAAAATTTGAAACACTAACATTCGAAGATTAGCGCTGTTTTCTAATGTTAGTTTTAATTTTCACATTTATTTGTTTGTCNGATCTGAATCTAAAGTTTGAGCAGAAAATCAGAAATATGATCTGAATCTAAAGTTTGAGCAGAAAATCAGAAATATGATCTGAATCTAAAGTTTGAGCAGAAAATCAGAAATATGATCTGAATCTAAAGTTTGAGCAGAAAATCAGAAATATGATCTGAATCTAAAGTTTGAGCAGAAAATCAGAAATATGATCTGAATCTAAAGTTTGAGCAGAAAATCAGAAATATGATCTGAATCTAGAGTTTGAGCAGAAAGATAGTGCAAGCGTATTTTTTCTAAAATCAAACCTTAGAATTGGTTTTAGGGGAAAAATCATGCATTTTTTACCCAATGGGGTAATGCCTAATTTACTGCTTTTTTCAATATCTTGGGAGGGGGAGGGGGGGGGACACCCCTCTTATCAGAAAACTGAAGGAGGGCGGCCACTTTGTAGATGAATGAATAAAATAAATTGAATGAATATAAAATGAAAGAATATACAAAATTAGTGAACTATTGTTAAATCATTGAATAAAAATCAATTGAGTTAAAAACGGGAGAAGATTAATTAAAAATAAGGTTGCAGCAATATAGGAAAAACATAAAAAATTGAGAATATTAAAAATGGATTCCATTCCTTGTTGTAAATGCATTCTATTAGATGGTTAGCTAATCCAGTATCCTCCATCTGAAACATGTAAATTAAAAATAAATCAATTTATATGATCTACATTTCACATTTAGTTTATTATAACAATAAAGGAAGTATGAAGAAAGAGATTCAGATGTAGTGATAAGACAGCTTGGTTTATTTTTTAGGGGGTTGGATTTCTAATAGGCACCAAAAGAATAATGTGAACTTCAACATTTTAAACCAGTATTCTGTAAAAGTTTGATTTTATTAAATTAATATCTATTTCTATTATAAAAGAAAATATAAGAAAAAAACGAACAAATTTAAACTAACAAAACAAAAAGTATTTAGAGATACAAAAATAGTTTTTAAGTATAAAAATTTCAGGAAACTATAAATTCCATAAAAACAAACAAATAAAACATAATTGGAGTTATTTAGGATATACAACACCCATGTTTAAAAATAGCTTGAAAAAATTGAAAAAATATAAAAAGTTAAAAAAAAATTAAATAAAAACGGAATCTGGATTAGACAATAATTTTGAGGAAGTTATCATCAATGGGCTATATTAAAAAAGATTTAGAAAAAATAAATAGATTAGAGAGTTCGAAAGTAAAATTGACAAAAAGAACAAAATAACACTTCTTTTAAAAATGAGCTATTGAGGAAAAAAATGTCAGAAATATCCCTGAAAAAGTGGGATATCAGAAAAAATTTGAGAAAATATAAAAGTAAAACAGAAAAATAAAAAAAATTAACCTGGATTAGACAATAGGATATAATCAACATGGGTTCATTTCCAAAAAAAAATAGATGCGAGGTTTCGAAAGTAAAATTGTCAAATAAACAAAAAAAAACACAAAACAGTATAAAGCTATTGTGGAGAAAAATTTCAGATATATCACTGAAAAAAGAGAATAAAATAATTTTTTATCGGAAGAAAAATGAGGAGACGGATTGCCTAGATTAGACAATAGTTGGGAGGAAATTCTCAACACGGTTAAAAAATGGAATTTAATGGAAATTTTTATCAGAAAAAATTGAGAGAAACGGACTATACCTAGATTAGACGATAGTTTTGAGAAACGGAATATACCTAGATTAGACGATAGTTTTGAGAAACGGACTATACATAGATTAGACGATAGTTTTGAGAAACAGACTATACCTAGATTAGACGATAGTTTTGAGAAACGGACTATACCTAGATTAGACGATAGTTTTGAGAAAGTTCTCAACATGGGGCCAGATCTTCTTAGATTCAGTTCCATGGAAATCCTGGAGAATTCCCTTACTCCGGTAGTAATCCAGTACTGGAGCAGTGTTAGCCTAGATAGATAGATAGATAGATATATGAATGGGTGGAAAGATAGATAGATGGTTGGATATATGAAATAATAGATGGATGAATAGAGGAATGGATATATTGAAAGATAGAAAGATGAATAGAAAAAATATGAAAAGATAAATGAATAACTGATAAAATGGATGTCAATCCGTCAGGAGAATAAATTGTTAGATGGATGGTTAGATTAACCAGATAATTAGTTAGATAGATGGATAGTTAAATAGATAAATGGATAGATGTATAGTTGGATAGATGAATGAATAAATGGATTTATAGATTATAGATACATAGCTAGGTAGAGGGGTAGATAAATAAATAAATAAATAAATGAATAAATAAATAAATAAATAAATAAATAAATAAAAAATAAGATAAAGGGACTGTACACTGTATAGGGAGCAGATAAAAGGGACTGCATACTATAAAAGAAGTTGATACAGGGACTGTACACATTACAGGGTGCAGATTAAGAGACTGTACACTGTACGAGCAGATAAAGATGTGAATTTAAGAATGATGTTAGCCAAAAATTTAATTTTTAACATTTTCTAAAATAGCAAAATAGGTTTTTTTTGATGCTAGGTAAAAATTAGGCCTGTATTATGTTGGGTAATATCCTTCCTGATTTTTTTAATGAATTAATTATTTTGTATATTTTTCCTTGTTTTGTTTCTCGCCATATTTCCCTTGGAAATTTACTTTGAGTTAATCACAAATCTGAATCTAAAGTTTGAGCAGAAAATCAGAAATATGATCTGAATCTAGAGTTTGAGCAGAAAATCAGAAATATGATCTGAATCTAAAGTTTGAGCAGAAAATCAGAAATATGATCTGAATCTAAAGTTTGAGCAGAAAATCAGAAATATGATCTGAATCTAAAGTTTGAGCAGAAAATCAGAAATATGATCTGAATCTAAAGTTTGAGCAGAAAATCAGAAATATGATCTGAATCTAAAGTTTGAGCAGAAAATCAGAAATATGATCTGAATCTAAAGTTTGAGCAGAAAATCAGAAATATGATCTGAATCTAAAGNTATAGTCCGTATAGTCTGTATTACATCACCAGAACATCAGCCAATGGCAGTAAAGTATACTGGTCACGTGATTTCCGTCTGTATCACCTGACAACGATACTGCACTGCCATTGGCTGAAGTTCCTTGTGATGCAATACAACCTACACGGACTATGTGTAATAATATTGTCAATTATATCTCTTTCAAACTTTTTATTGAAACAATAAAGGTACAGATCTGAGAAAATTATGTAATAATGATAAAAAACACACGAATATTCATTTATATATATATATACAAAATGCTTCTCGCAGTTACTCTCTAATTTAAGGTATGAAATTTAAACTAGTAAAGACTTAACAACACTGAGACCTGGAATAAGATCCTACATGAAATGAAAAGGACCTCTCTTTTTTAATATAGTAGAAAAAGACTTCTCGTCTAGGGTAAAAAAAGACTTCTCGTCTTCATAGGAAAAGGTTAGAAAAAACAAGAAAGAATACGAGAAATTACCGAGAAATGCACAAAACATGAAATGGAAAAAATTTCTCGTCTGTAAGTTCTTTGGATAGTTAACCAATTTAGAATGTTTATATAGTTTATCAAATAAACCTTGAACCTGAACTGAACTTTGGTGGCTGGGGACATTAGATCTTGGCTTTAGTTGATCTATGAGCTAGAGCTTCAATCTTAGATCTAAAGCTGTCCTCGGTCATTCTGTAGTTTGCAAAGATATTGGTGTTAGAAAATCATAGTTTGAGGCAAAGACTCAATTCCTTTGTTGGATAAATTAGTGCAGAAATCGGATAAAAACAAAAGAATTTCAAAACATAAAATTCTCAACTTTGAATATTTAGTATTCATTTTAATTTCTGAATGGCTAACGCAGTTGGAGGTTCATTACATTTCTTACATTGTTAGCAGGGTTATTACATTACTGTTTATAAAGCATACACTAAACAAAGACACCGTTAAATCTCTAGCTATTGAATAATTAATAAAAACCGGGAAAAACTTAAACTATTTAATAACAATGCTACGTGAAAAATATTAATTTACTATTACTAACATTATTTTCCTTTTTAACACTGGAAATTTCTCATACATAAAAATATTGCTTTCACTACAAGAAAACCTTATGAAAATTAGATTTTTTGTGCCCCCCACCCATTTTAAACATGCAGTTGCGCCTCGGTAAAATAAAACAAAAAATGATCGTTTAGAATAAAAATTCTTTATCTAGCCTCTTACCTCAATTATCTTCATTCCTAAGCATTCTATAGGAATAAAAAAATTTAATTGGATAAAAAATAAGATTTTTACAAGTTTCTAAATATCAAGATTAGCGTTGGACTCAACACTAAATAGTTTTCGCAAACAAAATGAAATGAAGTGCACAAACTTGAGAACTTATTATTTAGTACATCGAAATATTCTGCAAAACTACTTTCACGGGAAAACTTGAATCTTATTTATCCCTTAAACAGTTCCATACAAATCTATGTAAGAAAAGGAATCCAACAAAAAAATCCGCGACAAATGCATATATGCAACAATTCTGTAAAAATCATAACAAGGTGACAATACTATTTTCATGAAATTTTTGAATGAAATAAAATGAACAATTTCCCTTTTTTCAGCAAATTATGAAGAAATTTAAATTTTTCGAAAAATTTTGTTTCGCGAATGATTTTTAGATTTTGTTCCAAAATAAATTTTTGACATTTTGTGCAATACGTTTCAATATATTTTAAACGATACATGAACTCGGCAAGCAAATTTCTAATATCTCCTTATGTAAAGCATAAACAAAATTTTTATATCTGAATAAATAAGTTGAAAGAAAAAAAATATAATAAAGTAAAACTTAAACTTTCATAATAAAAATGAATTAAAAAAATGATTCATGATTAAATCGAATAAATGAATCAATGAATAGATACATATACAGCTGAACCAAACAATTAGATAAATGAAGTAGATAATAAATGTATGAACTAAATATATACGAATACACAATGTTGGAGAAAAAACCAAATAAAATATACAAATTGATGAAATTTGAAAGTATCATAAGAAATGTAATTAAAGGGTTAAATGTATTTTTATGTACGTAAGAAAGGAATAAGGGGGTGGCGTCTATTATCATTAAATCCAATAATTTCAACGCAAATTCCCGCATTTTATTGAACATCATTGTTTTAATTTCGTACCCCTATTTTCTTTTCTTATTGTAGCGATGGCGTGTGAGGGTGTGTGGGGGAAGCGACGAAAAAAAGCGACGAAATTTGGAAATTAATTTTGTTTTACTTAGGTATATACAATGTTCATTTAGTGTATCATAAAAATTTACATATTAAAATCTTTTTACGTAGGTCACGAATAAAAATTTCGTACTTGTAGAGAATAAGAGTTTTCCGTACAATTGTAGTAGCAGAGATAATTTACTTATTTGAATATGCTATATTTTGGTTACAGTCAAAATTACCTTTTTGCCCAAAAAAATAAACACTTGTCATGAGTCAAGTGAGCAAACCCTTAACAGTTTTCCGTACAATGCATACTGCACACATAATCCAATGCGATAAAATATATTTAATTTATAACAAAATGATTTTTCTAATTTCTAAACGATTAAGATAGACCGGATAATCTGAACCTTTTATGAAACTAATTCTTTGAAATTTCGGGGCGTTTTCATTGACAGATTGTCAAATCATTCGTTTTACTTTTCCCCAACATTTCAAACTATCTCTTTAAAGGGACTGTGAGCGTAATTTCAAGTGACCCTCCATACACAGATTTACAATGGTACTCTTGCAAGCTTTGTCTGAAATGAATGCTGGGTTTAGTTTTTTTTCGCTCTCTAAAGTGACGCGCGCACTTCTACGCCAGGAATATGAATTATCAGAACTTAACAATTTAAAACCTGGATAAACGACAATATCTTCCACATTATTGATCAGATAAAGGTTTAAATGGCAATGTTATAAATAGGAGATGGAGAATCCCTTGAAGTTAAGCTTAAAGTCCCTGTAAACTGTTTTATAACGCGCGTTAAACTTACTTTCCCAGCAACCTTGGGAGGATTGAAGATCAGGTTGTAAACACGCCCAGATCCAGGATGGATCCAACGATCCTAAAAATTATAAAAATCAACCTTTTAAAATATTTTAAATTATTTTCAACGTTTTTAAACCTTTTTAAAAACAGTAAAGGATTGCAAATTTAAATCTACAGGGTGTCCCAATAAACATGGGAAATTAANAAAAAAAATAAAATAATTGCAAATTTAAATCTACAGGGTGTCCCAATAAACATTGGAGAATTATGACGAGTTTTATATCATCTTTGTTTCACGCGGCCCCAATTCGTGTACACAAATCTATTTGGTATCTCAGTTTAAACGTTTCACACTGATAACACGGTTAGTCTTGGGATTTCCAAAATGTGGTCTTCCATTAATACATAACTCAAAATTTTTGAGATTTTGAGTAATGTATTAAATGACAAGTCTCCGTTTATATAAAAGATACAAAGAAGGAAAGCTCAAAAAAGGTAAAACCTATATTTTATACATTTTGTTGTTGATTGTTAACTTTCCAAAATCAAAGACGATTTTCAAGTTATCTCTTAATTCCCATGTTTATTGGGACACCCTGTATCATACGAGCAAAACTTATATCATTGCTGTAAACTCAAAGGCATCAATAAGAGGGGCAAAGACAGTTAAAGTATGAGTATTGATTGGACAAAGTCTATTTTAAAAATGTGTTAGTTTCAATTAGACTTAATTCATTGAACATAAAGGAATTCTTTAAAGCAGTGCGTAGGATCCGCGACATTTATAATCTGTAACCATTTTCTATCTTTTAAAAGTGTTTAATTTTCACATTTTCTTTTTTTCTGCTGCTGCATAAATCACAATTAAAATTGATCCATTCAAAGTAAAGATTACGTTGAAAAGATAAAGCTTTAAAAAATGAAGGATCACTTTTAATTTACATATCTTTTCCTCCCTAATTTCTATGTATGATGAAACTTTATAAAAATATAACAAATATTTAAATTTTTCTTATTTCAGGATTTTAAGTTGAACAGTTCCGACATAGCTAAATATGGGTGGGACATCAAGGATTACTCGACACCCAACAACCAACAACAACAAGACAAGGCTTACAGTTTATACAACGGGTGGACAAAGTCCAAAAGCTGTTTTACCATCTTAAACAAGAGGGATACCGCCCATCAGCTCAGCAATATCTGTCAACTGTCCGATATTATGAACGTGTCACAGATTCGACCCCTCAACACCGCTAGGCGGACAAATTCGGTGATAAAACTGTCCTCTGCTCCTTCCAAACCAACCAAGAAAAAAAAACCCCAAGTAAAGAAAGCTAGAGCTGTTAAGCAGGAAGAGTCCGAAGATGAGAAGTATAAGGGAAGTCTGCTCTATCAGTTGCTCAAGCAGGACGAGGACCTTATGAGAGGAGAGAACTTCTTGGACAATATTCCTTCCGTGAGTCCTGGTTCTAGTCCTACGGACAATATGACCCCTTTCCCCAGTCGCCAGGACAATATTACCCCCTTCCCCGGTCCTGAGGACATTATTACTATGTTTAAGGGTCCTGAGAAGGGGACAGAGCACCTAAGCAGTCCTGATTCCGACAGGTCCTCATGTCCTCCGCTGAATATTGACGGTATCTATGAGGACATTAGCTCCCAGTACACCATGGTGCCGGAAATAGAGAACTACATGTACCCGGGGTTCAGCCTGGAGTACAACAACGTAGAAAAGGACGTGTACAGGATCGATGAGAACTCCTTGTACATGAAGCAGGACTCCGTCTGCAAGAACATGAGCAACGACGTCCTGTCCCAAGAGTGCTATAACATCGTCAGCAAACTTTACGCATCAAAATGTAATCAGTAACTCAGTTACTTCTTCAGGACTTAAAAGTCAATAACTTAAATGATCGTTAAAAACTTGTCGTGCACTATAAGTAGTGATTTCTTTAAATATAAAACTTTTTACTTTGTATATTTGTATATTTGTACAGTTTTCCCATGCTTAATAATTTCTACAGTCTTTTCCCGTGTTTTTAAATTTGTTTTTGCTTATTTTTGAAATATAAAATCATTTGACAATTAATTTTGTTTTACTTAGGTATATACAATGTTCATTTAGTGTATCATAAAAATTTACATATTAAAATCTTTTTACGTAGGTCACGAATAAAATTTTGCGTACTTGCAGAGATAATTTACTTATTTGAAAATGCTATATTTTGGAAAAAGTTACAGTCAAAATACCTTTATGCAAAAAAACCTAAACTAAACACTTGTCGCAAACTCTAATTTTATAATCCTTTTATCATTGGACCCTGATGTTGAAGACCTAAGAAATGTCAAGCATTGAGTTCTGCGAGAATAAATAGCCAAAGCTTGATATATATTATTTAAATTATCCGATTGCAAAGATATGAGTCAATTGAGCAAATTCTTTGTAACAGTTTTCCGTACAATGCATACTGCACACATAATCCAATGCGATAAAATAAAAAGATACAAAGAAGGAAAGCTCAAAAAAGGTAAAACCTATATTTTATACATTTTGTTGTCGATTGTTAACTTTCTAAAATCAAAGACGATTTTCAAGTTATCTCTTAATTCCCATGTTTATTGGGACACCCTGTATCATACGAGCAAATAATATATCATTGCTGTAAACTCAAAGCCAATCAGTAACAGGGGCAAAGACAGTTAAAATATTTAATAGAAAAAAGTCTTTTTTATTTTCAATGAAACGTATAACTTTTATACAATATCTTAATGTGCCTAAAGTCTATACAATCCCAACTATTTAATTAAGTATGAGTATTGATTGGGCAAAGTCTATTTTAAAAATGTGTTAGTTTCAATTAGACTTAATTCATTGAACATAAAGGAATTCTTTAAAGCAGTGCGTAGGATCCGCGACATTTTGGCTTCCTGGATCCGGATATGCGGATCCACGGATCCGGATCCAAGGGGCAAAATATCAATTAAAAACAAGAAAACTTTTCTGCGCTCAAATCCCGAATCTGAACAGTAGAAAAAAAAAGTTTTTTAAAAATTCTTTTCTCTAAATAGCTTGCCTTGATCCTATCAATGATAGTGTCGAAGGGAACATCCAGGTTGACGACGACATTCACAGGAGTCTCAGCTTGTAGAGCTTCCGCCTGAAAAATAATTGTAAAAGAAATTTATCAGAGAAATGACAGATAATCAAGGTTTTGAAGATAGTTGTCCTGCTTGTTTGATTTTTAAGGGAAACTTAATTATTGGGTAAAGGTAAAAAGTATCAAAAAGGAGACAAAACTTGCCTTTTGATATCCAATTTTTCATCCCCCCCCATCTATAAAGATCACTATTCTTAAAAATAGACACACCTGTTTTCCTGTTTAGAGGTTTATTATACCTGAGGTTGGGTTCTAGGAAACCCGTCCAGTAGCCAGGGAGCATCTCCTAGCTTCTTCAATTCAGAAGCTATCAGACCAACCTAGATATATAGATAGATAAATAGAAAATATGTATCCATAGAAAGATAAATATATAGATAAATAGATAAATGTATAGTGTATTGGTGTATACATGTATGTAATAATAATATGTAAGGAAAAGGTTGAATGAGAATAAGAAATAATTTATGAATGATGAATGCGGGGAATAAAGAATGAATAATGAATGAATGAGCGGAAGAAAGAATGAATAAAGGATGAATGCGCGGAAAGAAAGAACCAAAACAGGGTAAATGATTGGAAGAAAGAATAAAGGATGAATGAGTGGAAAGAAAGAATGAATAAAGGATGAATGCGCGAAAGAAAGAATAAATTAAAGATGAATAATTGAAAGAAAGATGAATAAAGGATGAATGAGTGGAAGAAAGAATGAATAAAGGATGAATGCGCGGAAAGAAAGAACCAATAAAGGATGAATGAGCGTAAGAAAGAATGAAAAAAGGATGAATGAGCGAAAGAAAATATAAATTAAAGATGAATAATTGGAAGAAAGATGAATAAAGGATGAATGAGTGTAAGAAAGATGAATAAAGGATGAATGATAGGAAAAAAGAATGAATAAAGGATGAATGAGAGGAAGAACGAATGAATAAAGATGAATGATTGGAAGAAAGAATGAATAAAGGATGAATGAGCGAAAGAAAGAATGAATAATGGAAGGATAAATGATTGGAAGAAAGAATGAATAAAGGATGAATGAGCGGAAAGAAAGAATGAATAAAGGAAGGATGATTGGAAGAAAGAATGAATAAAGGATGAATGAGTGAAAGAAGAATGAATAAAGGATGAATGATTGGAAGAAATAATGAATAAATGATGAACGATTGGAAGAAAGAATTAATAAAGGATGAATGAGCGAAAGAAACAATGAATAAAGGATTAATGAGCGGAAAGAAAGAACCAATAAAGGATGAATGAGCGTAAGAAAAAATGAAAAAAGGATGAATGAGCGAAAGAAAGAATGAATTAAAGATGAATGTTTGGAAGAAAGAATGAATAAAGGATGAATGATTGGAAGAAAGAATGAATAAAGGATGAATGGGCGAAAGAAAGAATAAATTAAAGATGAATAATTGGAAGAAAGATGAATAAAGGATGAATGAGTGTAAGAAAGATGAATAAAGGATGAATGATAGGAAAAAAGAATGAATAACGAATGAATGAGTGGAAGAAAAAATGAATTAAAGAGGAATTATTGGAAGAAAGAATGAATAAAGGATGAATGAGCGAAAGAAAGAATGAATTAAAGATGAATGATTGATAGAAAGAATGAATAAAGGATGAATGAGCGAAAAAAAAGAATGAATTAAAGATGAATGATTGGAAGAAAGAATTAATAAAGGATGAATGAGTGGAAGAAAGAATAAATAATGGATGAATGAAGGATGAATAGACGGAAGAAAGAACGAATGATTAACATAACAAAATTTATATTTTTTGTAAAATAAATCTGAATTATATTAAGATATGAGGGTGGCAAATCAAAGCCAGTCTAAGATTGTGATGAATTGCTAAAAATTAAAACCAAAAAAAAAATACCATGACAGAGTCGGGCACAAGATCTCCTCGGGCAATGAATGCTTTCGCTTCCTTTCCAAGGGCAGTTCCATCACGCATATGTGCCCTGAAATCAATACCAGGTTCAATCAATCAATCAATCAATCAATCAATAAATCAATCAATCATCAATTTCTGAATGAGTTGAGCATTTTTTGGTTAAATCTATTTTTATCAGAATATAATATCATTTTTTTTAAATATCAATAAAGGAATTGAGTCTTTGCCACAAATTCAAATGGTCTAATCTCTATATTTTTGTAACCTGAAGGTATAACCCTCTTGATATTTCAAACTCAATTTTTTTTAGCTAAACCGAATTTAAAATAGCTAAGGTCCACTACATCGGGTTGCAAAGATATATGGATAAGAAAATCAGAGTTTGTGACAAAGACACATTTATTGTCTGTTTTAATCAACCATTTATTGGATAAATCTATAAACTTTTGGAGAAAAGTAAAATTCCGGACAAGTTATTTTTTTAAGCTAAATTAATAAATAAACTTTTTAAACGATTTATTATTATTTCGATCTATCAACAAATAAAATCCAACCTGAGAAGGTCTCCACTTGAGACATGCGTCAGACCAAAATCCCTAAATTAAAAAATCATCAAATCTAATTATAAAATTATTTAACTTCTAAAAAAACATCTGCTCGTGCTAGCTAGAGGAATCCGCTGTTAAACAAATTAAATACTCGGAAAACTCTGTTACATCTATATATAAATTTGGCTTGTCTGTTTGTTTGTTTGTCTGTTTGTATCCAATAAACGTCAAAACGGCTGAACCGATCGGGCCGAAATTTTTTGTGGGACATCACGTGACCACAGGGAAGGTTTATGAATGATAAAAATTAAAAAAAAATGTGATTTAAAGGTTTTTATTTTGTAAAAAAATCTAAATTCTTGAAAATCCGCGAATTTTTTTTTTAAATCCGCAAATTTTTTCTTCTTCTTTGTTTTAAAATGTTAACAAAAAGAACATGTTCACAATTTAAAAAGAAGATGGGCGCGAAGCGTCCTAAAAGCCTAGTAAGATTGAATTTAGCTTGTCTGTCTGTTTGTATTCAATAAACGTCAAAACGGCTGAACCGATCGGGCCCAAATTTTGTGTGGGACCTCACTTGACCCCAGGGAAGGTTTATGAATAATCAAAATTATAAAAATTTGTGTTTAAAAATTTTTTAATTTTGTAAAATTTTGAAAATGCGCAAAAAATAATATGAATTCCGAAAACTTTTTATTGTTTTTGTTTTATACTGTACAAAGAAAAGATGCTCACGGATAAAACCACAATTAAAAGTTGAAATAGAAGATGGGCGCAAAGCGCCCTAAAGTCTAGTAAGATAAAATATCCGAACAACAAATTTTCTTCCTTTTACGGAATGCTATGGGAAAAGTAACGTGTTTAAATCAAAGATTTTATGCTCTGGGTGGCCTCTTTTTAATCCAAGGTGAACATATCCTGAAACCCATATATTCCCAGCTGAGCTGGGCTAAAATTTTCACTATTTTCTTATGGGTTTTTAAGTAAAATATCACCCCAGCTGAGTTCACCTTTTCAATATTTGCGAATTTTTTGCTATGAAGTTCCCACATTCTTTTGAATGATCATCTTCCAGCATTAATATTTGGGATTTTCTTTAATATGTACTTTTCAAAATTTTAAACTTTATATTACATGTTATATAATTGACGTGCCATTTTTGTGTATTTATTTATTTTGATAGTGTTAACATTTAAATTCATATTTCTTTATATTTCTTAATATTTTCCAGGTCATAAAATTACCCTACTGGTTATAAGGGGGCTCGTAAAGTATTTTCGCCAAAAACATTTCTTTTTGGCTCAACTACTTTATACCTCGCCTCCCTTCAACCAGTAGGGTTATAAATAGTTATAAAAAAAAGTTTTAATGTGATGTGTAGTCTGTGGCTGTCTTTAAAGGAACTGTAAGTGTAATTTCAAGTAACCCTCTATGGAAAGAGGGCAATTCCCGATTTACAACATTTGTGTGTTCGTCAAATACAGATGAATGTGTGTTTAAACTTATCGAAACCCGCTTGTATTCAGCTGAAATTTCAAGGGTGCGCTGTGTTGAGTTACGTACAGTCTGAATAAATTAAACCGGTAGTTCATCCTTAAAAGTTCTGAATGTTCTAAAGGCCAAATTAAATATGGGTAACAGATAGTGTTTCACCGTACAATTGTTAAAACAGATAGTGTTTCACCGTACAGGGGGTTAAAAACAGATAGTGTTTTACCGTACAGGGGGGTAAAAAACCGATAGTGTTTCACTGTACAGGGGGGGTAATAACAGATAGTGTTTCACTGTACAGGGGTTAAAAACAAATAGTGTTTCACCATACAGGGGTTGAAAACAGATAGTGTTTCACCGTAAAGGGGTTAAAAACAGAGTGTTTCACCATACATGGGTTAAAAACAGAGTGTTTCAACGTACAGGGGTTAAAAACAGATAGTGTTTCACCGTACAGGGGCTAAAAACAGATAGTGTTTACCATACAGGGGGTTAAAACCAGATAGTGTTTCACCGTACNTAGAAAATAAAAGATAGATAGATGAATAGAAAATAAAAGATAGATAGATGAATGAAAAGATCATAAAAAATATTAAAAAAACTTTTATGTAAATATATCGAAATTTAAAAATAATTAAAATAAAATAAAAAAGTCGAAATTTTTTATAAACATGAAGTAGTTTGTTTCTCTCATTTTGATGAAAAATCTTTTTTTAATGAAAAATTAACTGTTAACAATCAAATCAAATCAAGTTTAAATCTGAAAGGGAACCCAATGTGGAACCCCCAGACTGCCTTCAGGGCACCACGCACCACCGTGCAGATAAATGAAAAGTCCCAGCTATAGGAGTCCTAATAGCTTTGAAATATTTTCACTAGTACATTACCCCNTCATCTAAATAATTACCTATGATGAGCGCGCAAGTTTTCTTGCCACGCACCTGAGTGTTGAGAGCAACATGGACGCGCACACTTAATCCATATCCTTTACTCAACAGCTGGAGGGACACGGGCTTAGAAAACATGGCTCTGAAAAAAAGTAAAAAATAGACAATAAATATTCAGATTTAGATAGATTCAAGATTCAATGATTGACTGATGGGTTTATAAGTCAATGTGAGAATTAAAAAGTTAAAAATAGTTCAGACAGAATCCATAAATGAATATGACAATGAATAAATGAACGACTGAAAGGAAAGATGAATGCATTAATGAATATATGAATGAAAGGATTAATGTAGACGTAAGAAAATAGTTCATCCATGATTGAAAGGATGAATGTGTCAATGAATAAATGAACGACTGAAAGGAAAGATGAATGCATTAATGAATATATAAATGAAAGGATTAATGTTAAAGTAAGAACATAGTTCAGAATGAAAGGATGAATGTGTCAATGAATAAATGAACGACTGAAAGGAAGGATGAAGGCATTAATGAATATATGAATGAAAGGATTAATGTTAAAGTAAGAAAATAGTTAAAAATGAAAGGATGAATAAAGGGATAAATAAATGAACGACCGAAAGGATAAATGAATGTAATAATAAAATTATAAATGAATGCAATGTAATAATGAATGAATAAATGAATTTTTAATCTTAAAAGTATGAATGAATAAGTAAAGGCCAAGTTGTCAAAGTGTAGAAAAAGTCCATAAAATAAATAAATAAATGAATGAAATGTGTGAATAATGAAGTATTGAATGTTGAATCTTAACATGAATGAATAAATTAATTTTTAGTTTTAAATTATGATTTTACAACAGAATTATTAATATGCGTAGAAATAGTATTTCGAGGATCTTTAATATATGCCGGATGGTTGAATTTAACAATGAGAGAATAATTAATGCATTTTGAATCTTACAGTATGTGAATGAATGAAGTATTGAATCTTAAAATGAATAAATTAATTTTTATCTTTGAATCCTGATTTTAAAACAGAGTTGTTAATATGCGTAGAAATAGTATTAAGAGGATCCTTAACGTATGCCGGATGTTTAAGTGCTTCCTTGAAGAACTGGATATTCTTATGAAACTCTTCCTGACGTTTCTTCTCCTTCAGGGTGGACTTGGACATCTTCTTCTTCTTCTTTTTTACCTGGTGTAGCTCATCCTAAGGTCAAAACTTTTGAATTTAAAATCAGTTCCTGTAGCGATTCGTTTCCAAGGGCCGTCTCCCAAAATTGTATATCTAAAGGCCTGTATGCCAAACAGCGATCAAGCGGGTTTAAAATAAATAAATTTAAGTAAACAAAACCATCCCCCTAAACCCCTAAAATACAAAAATAACCTTTTTATATACACAATGTCAGGTCATGATAACTTTTGGTTTGAAAATATAAAATTACCTTCTTAATTATTTCTTCTTCAATATCTAAAAGATCGTCAAGGAGAGGTTTAATATCCTTGACAATAACAGTTTTCTCACGAACTTTTTTCTCCTTTTTCTCCTGTTTGGCCGCAGCCTCGCCCGCCAACTTATTCGTCAGCAGACTTCGCCGAATTTGCATTTTCTCTTTTTTGGAAATTTTTGATTTGTTTTCGGTTTGGAATTTTTTCTTGATGAACTTTTTCGTCTGCTGATTTGAAACAAACTTGGAGAAATCGGCAGCGGTCGTCGCCGGGACTTTATCCTCCGGTTTTGGAGCGGCTTTGAAATTTTTCACCACGGCCACGGAATCGGCGGTAAGTTCGGTGAGGGAGGTTTTCTTGCTCAGCAACGAGTTTGACAACCCGGTTTTATGCGTTAAAATCTTCTTCTCCTTTCCGAGTTTGGCGTTGATTCGGCGGTTTAATTTACCCATATTGACAAACGTCGGTTTGTTTCTGAAATAAAATATTTTAAATATCGGTAAAATCACACAGAAATCTAATCACAGTGAATACGATAAATGACTGGAGGAGCTTTTTCAAACTAAGATGGGAATTTATGAATAAGAGAGGAGTAGATTATCTAGGTAAGATTAGATCAACTAGTTCTGCTAACCCGAGAAGGTCTAAACTATCGAACGACGAGAGTTGGACTAGAAATCGAAATGGTTCAACTAGCTATACCTAGTTCAACTTGATTTCGATATTCATTAAATCCGACCTCTGACCAACTATACTTGGAACCGGAAGTCAAACCAGCCGTAGCTAGCAACTCTTCCTCTTTTTTTTTTTTATAAATTCTTAACACTGAATAACTACATGTCAGATTAATTTACAAAAAAAGCTTATTTTTCAGCCAAAAATCTTCAGCAAGAACTTCATTCAGTTCACAAATTTTACATTTTAAAATAAAATTTTGAACAAATTATATTTCTCATGTAACTACATATAATATTTTGTTTGCACTCTGAAACTAAACTTTTGAAAAAGACCAAAATATTGTCCATATATTGTGTTTGATAAAATGTGCCAAACAATACAAAAACTATCATGAGTGAATATTGAAAAAATGTGTAAAAATGAGGATAGCGAAATTTTTGTCTGAGAATTGTAGCAATAAAAGGCAATACACATTTTTTTTATTTGCAACCCGCGTCAGAATTATTGAAAAATTTACTGGGACAAATTATGTCAATACTGATACAAAATAAATTAAAATATTACTAAAACTTTGAAAAATAATTTTATCTGATTTGTTATAAAGTGCCATAAACGATAAATAAGAACAAAAAATTAATCTGGTTGAAATGTGACAAATCTTAGCCATTTTGCTGACTTGTCTTATTAAAAGAAAATTTCAATAAAACCGCGGCCAAAAGTTGTTAAGAAAAAATCAATTTTTAAATTAGAATTTCAAATCAAGGATATCTGTTATTTTGTTTTTGAATTAAAAACCATCTAAAAGTACATTGCCATTTTGAAGTCTGCCAATTACATATTTAAAATTTTGGTTAATTATTGAAACAAAATAATTTTGTAGTACTTAAAATAGTTTTAGACTGAAGTACATAAATATATTTCTTTACATGTTCTGAATTTATATAAGATAAAACTCTAGTTCTTGTTCTAGTATTCTATGGAACTCTTACTCTTGTTCTTGTGTTCTTTAGAACTGTTTTCTTGTTCTTGTGTTCTATAGAACTGTATTCTTGCTCTTGGATTCTATAAAACTGTATTCTTGTTCTTGGATTCTCTAGAACTGAATTATTGTTCTTGGGTTTTAAAGAACCCTATTCTTGTAGAACCACATTAGAACTGTATTCTTGGGTTCTAAAGGACCCTGTTTTTGTAGAACCACATTAGAGAGCGGGAAAGGTTCCAGTTGAAGCAAAGAGTAGTAATGTACAGAACGAACTGGAAAAAATTACTATAAAAAATCCCAAAATATATTCTGAAAAATCTACCAAATAAAAACCATAAGTTTTAGTGTATTGAGTACTATGAAATTAATTGAATCCGACTGTTAAAAATGGCATAGAATTAGCCAAAACAACCCATTTTTATAATATATAATAAAAATGACAAGAATATCCAAAAACAGGTGTACTACATTTCTAATTCCATTCTTATAATCGTTATAAACAAAATAATAAACTAGCTACACAATAAAAAAAAATTTCGTATTTTTAATTTAAGTTTTCATTTCAGAAAAGTTAAAATTATCTACATTTACTGACCTAGTGCATAAAATTTGAGAATCTGAATTAAAAATAAATAAAAAATTAAAAAAATAACTTTAAAAAAAAGTTACCAGAATAGTGAATGGGTAGAGGAAAAGATGAGTTCTCTGCAGAATCTTGAGAGAACTGTATCCCAGGAAGGTGATGTAAATATAATAACCTAAATCAATCAACCAATCAATCAATTAATCAATTCAAAACTTTATTATCGACGAAGGAGTATCCTTATTTTCTAGAGCCCGCGATTTAAAAACTTTGGCTCGACCCGTAATTCCTTAAACCCGATTTTAAGACCCAATCTTCGACCCAACTCTGACGACAGCTTGTGTCACGTGATTAACAACTGCAAGATCTTCGGCTCGACTTAAGAAGTTAGGCCCAATGAAAATAAGACCGACCTTGGTTGACAAAAGGAATCAGACCGGTGACATGGCTAAAATTTGGTCGTGTGTCCGACGTTAGGTTTAAACTATGTCAGGCTGAAAAGCAAGGGATGTAATCCGTCGTCTTTGCAATAAGGACAGAGATCAGGGACAGAAGGGAATCGGTGTTAGGTAGAGATCATGTAGTGACATACAGTACATCGGATAAACGAGAGTTGCGGCATCTGTGTACACAGATCTGGGGTATGTAAACAGTAGACAGTTTTTCTAACCATAGCATGAAAGATTTGTTGTATAAAACTGCAAATTAAGAAGTTATACGATCATCAGTAAACTTGAAAAATTATCCGATGGGCATAACAATACTTATACAAAACATAAGAGCTTATATAAAGGTAAAATATGAATTTTATTTAAATAATTTACAATTTTAAAGTTTTTGAAAAATCAACATTTCTGCAACAGAGCTAGACTATCCCTTCACGGCTTATGTCATCTGTGGAAATATTTTTTGAAAGAAGGATGGAAAGCTAGACCAACCAACGCATATTTTGCTTTATAGACTGTAACATATTTTCTGAATTGGATTTGTCTTAAAAGAACATTTCATAATTTTTTCATATCAAGGGCGTATAGATAGGGTGTTCGGAGGGCGGGGGGTGATGACAGCCCACGGCCACTGTATATCGAATATATCTCACCCCTGACTAACCAGAGTTACGAGGCATTCGGTTTCTTCAATTAGAAATCATACTCGTTTTGGTTTATATTTTGACAATCTTTAAAGTTACGGATTTGTTTGTTAAATACTTTTTATTCAAAACATATATGCCGGCAAAAAAGTATTTAGGAAAAAATGCTGAAAAATTATGTTTAAGAGGAGTAATTGTGATCGAAAGTTATAGCTTTCTGGAATATTGACAGAACCATTAAATTCACGTGATCTTAAGCTTAAACATAATCTTGTTAAGGTTTCATGATGCCGGGTCTATCAGGAGATTTATGTACTGCATGAAGTTCACAAGTGAAGGAAATCAGGAAGATCATTAAGTTCTATTTGAAGAAATCTTTAAGAAAAGAAAAAGATGGAGTTGTGGAGTACTTTACAATAATTAGAAACCTAATTAAAATATTGTTCTTTTTTATTAATAAATGGTTAAGCCCACCATGTTGTACATTCTTTATAAAATTATTCTTACAGCTTCGTCAGATTTAGAATTTGTTTCTTTCAAGTTGGATAATGTATAAAGATTTTAGATATTGGTTTACATACCATTTAATTTAATTGTGTCTAGTACTCTCCGTTTAGTTATCAAATAAGCTTTTTAAAGTAAAAAAAGAAATAAAAACACGGCTATTTTTACTGTTTTTGCGATATAATTTTCCGTTTTTGGCCTTTCATTCCAAGTTAATTCACTTATCACATAAACAAAGGAATATTGGATGTTAAATTTTTATCATGATAATTAGAAATTGCTCGTGAGAAAAAATAACAGTTTTTCTGAGTAAAATTCTCAATTTGGAGCACAAAAAATATTTTGGGACAAAAAACTTTTGTATATGATAAACCTCAGGTGTGATTTCCATCAGCTGATGTTCAGCTGATATTTAGCTTCGACTTCAGATCTAACCTAAGCTTCGATCTTGCTCTGATTTTGGACTAACGAATACAAAATCATAGCTAAGCTAGGAAGTCGCAGCTAAATCATAGCTAGAACCGGACAAAGAAACCGGGCTAATGATAAGGAGTCTGTACAATTCCCCTGTACAAACTGTCCATCAGCATTCTATACTCTACCCTTTCTCCGCTGAAAAGCCTTCACCTATAGGGGATTGTGATGGCATACCCCTTGTAGGTCAAGGAGCTGTTGGACGCATCCCTAGCTGTATGATATGATATGATATGATATGATATGATATGATATGATATGATATGATATGATATGATATAATATGATATGATATGGTTTTAGTGGAGAATAAGGCTTAATGTTGGGTCTTGTTCTCATGAAAACCCGGAATGCGCCAATTCCTACCATGAAAATCCGACAAATAGAATATTAAACCAGGTTTTTGAACTCAAGTCTTTTGAAAATAAAAAGCAGCTTGAATCCGAAAGCTCAAGTCGTAAATAAGGCCCAACGACAGCTTAGACCCGAGACGTATTTTCCCGAATTTTTTAAATCGCGAGCTCAGGTTGAAGAGTCCATGAAGTGTGCAGTGCCACTACACTTTTCAAAGTGCTCAACTTCCAGCTGAAAAAAATCGAATATCTCCGTCATCCTTGATTAGACAAAGGACTAGAGGGGACCGTTCAAATCTCCGTTTCACTTGAATATTTATATTCAAATTATCCTTTTAATTTCCATTTCCATTCCATTTCAGAGTAATATATGATATTCATGCGCGCAACTAGACATTCAGCAAGGGGGCAAAGGGCAAATAGTTTTTTTTGCCCCTCCCCCCCAAACATTTCTATGGGGGAGGGGGGGCAAGAAAAATGTGTATTATACTCGACCATGAAAAAACTACCTTACTAATTAAGGATATTCTTTTTAGTTTGGGGCAAATTTGTGTGGGAAAAATCTTAAATTTATATTTCAGGGGCAAATTTTATTTTTTGGGAGCAATTTTCATTTAAGGGAAATCTTAAATCTTTGTTTTAGCTGAATTGGGAATCGATCTGTTTGATCTGTTTGTTCCAGGTTGAAGAAGAGGCTTCACCTAAACGGTTGACAGATACCAACCAACCAATGGTTTTAATTGGTTTACCAACTGACTGGAATGTATCTACTTTATTTCTCTAGATTTGGACTAGATGATGGGGATTTAAAGGTCNCGGCGATCTGGGGGGTCCACATATTTGGGTATCTTACAGATTCAATTTCCTTATGTTCCTTGGGGGGCTTTTTTTCAGCTCGGGCAAATTTGTGTATGGAAAATCTTAAATATTTATTTTGAGGGCATTTTTTTTTATTTAAACTACTTAATTTTGGAGTAATTGCCTTAAAGTTGGGTGTATTTATAAAACATTTGGGGATAAAAATAAATTAAGTCTAGGTGCAAATTATAAATATTTGGTGGCGTTCTAAAAAAAGGGGTAAATTTAAGTCTGGTATGGCGATTTGAATAAGAATATGTGAGTATAATTTTCAAAAAAACCGAAATTTGGGGGTGAATTTTTAAGAAAAAGAATCTGAGCTTATATTGAAAAATGTTATTGTGGAAGTTGAGTTTTCTTTTTTGGGGGCATAAATGAGTGTAGGTAAAAAAAATGACTGTGGGGGGCCTATTTTTTTTCTTCAAATTTTCTAGAAAATTAGTTATACTTGGAACTATATGGACCCCTGTTAAGGATTTCTTGCACCCCATCCCTCCCTCTAAAGAAGGGGGGCGAGCCTTCTTTAGGGGGGGGGTGCATGCCCCCATAATTGCGCGCCTGAATTAATATTTTTTGATCTGATAAAGCTCGAAAAAATCCGATACAAAATAGTATTTCTTAAAACAGGCTTAAAATTTTTTACCAAGAGCGATTAGCCAGAGTGTATTCCCAAACCATGTAGACACAAACCATTCCTTCTCTATGAAAGACAATATCAATATAATAAATAACTGAAGGAAAAAATAAATAAATAAATCTGATAATTGGATAAATGAGTTAAAATTTTCATATGACAAATGAACAAGTAAACAAATGAACACATAAAAAAAAAATGAAATAATTGGCAAAAAAGATACACTAACAATCACAAAACTGAACCAATTAAATCAAACCTATGTTTATACAAACAGCTGAATGTATGGATGAATGAATGAATGAATGAATGAATGAATATATGGTATACGAACAGCTGAATAAAAGAAAAAAGAAAAAATGAAGCGAAGAAAAATTTAATGAATGTTTAGTTGACTAAATACAATTAACGATGAACGTATATATGCCTAACGAACAGCTCGATGATTGAATGAATGAAGAAACAAATGAATATTATTGATGAATATACGGTAAATGAACGCCTGGATTTGTAAATAATTGAAAAAAATTAATAAATAAATGAATTGATGAATAAAAGAATGAATAACTGAAAGAATAAATGATTATATGGTAACGGTGGATGGATTGATGAATGAATGAATAAATGACTGAATAATACTGATGAATATATGGTAAACGAACAGTTGAATTAATTTTTGAATAAATAAATTAATATCACCGATAGAGAGAACCCGGCCTGAAAACCAAAATAACTACTAAACTAGCCTGGATATTTCTTTCCTTAAAAGGGTCTGTTAGCGTAATTTCAAGTGACCCTCTCTATGCAAATATGGCAATGCCCAATTCACAACGGTACACTTAAAAGCTTTGACTGATCAAGGTTAAATTAGATATCATTGTGGTTTCTCTACAAGAGCCTTGCGCATTTCTACTGCAGGAATCATATTTGAATTAACAAGTTTAACACATTTAATTTTGGAAAAATTACAATATCTTCTCCATTATTGATAATATAAAAGTTTCAAGGGTACCATTTAAAATCGGGTATTCTCATCTTTGCATTAAAAGTCATTTGAAATTGCAGTTACTTTAAATCAGAACTCTGAAACTTTTAAATTATTAATTTTCTCAGATAAAATTTACATTGATAGTTAAATGCAAATTGAACCAGTTCTACAACAACGGAAAAATGAACTATTTTTGAATTGAAGAAATGACGAATGAATTAAGGACTAAAAAAAGAATAAATGTTCACCGAAGATATTATAAGCCAAGCTGCGAGCAGAACAAGAAAGGCAGGATCATCTCTTGCAAACNATCAATAAATCAATAAATCAATAAATCAATAAATCAATAAATCAATAAATCAATAAATCAATAAATCAATAAATCAATAAATCAATAAATCAATCAACTACTCCATCATTAAATCAATTTAATATTTTAGAGTTAGCTAGAGGGGAGGGGGGTGGGGGGTAATCATTTCCGAGGGTTGGTGGAAAAATAGATAATATTTGATTTCAACTAGCTAGTTTCTGCAGATACTTATTATATTTTATAATCAATTTTTTCCTTCGATCAGCTGTTTCCCCCAATTTAGAAAATTTCTTTTAAGATTCGGCGGGATAGGGGGCGGAAAGTATAAAGACCGTTTTTTAATGAATGAGAAAGATTGATGTTTATTGTTTACCTTCCTATACTGAAAGTTCCTGTAGACCTGCTGGGGCTTATAGAACAAGTAGAGCATCTGCCACAGAGCAAACTCAAAATCCATCTGCCGGAAGTGGAATATCCGCCGCAGATACTGAAGATACACGAAATACAAATAGTTAACTCAAAATCAATCTGCCGGAAGTGGAGTATCCGCCGCAGATACTTAAGACATATACATACAATACACAGAGCAATCTCAAAAATCTATCTGCCAGAAGTGAAATATCCTCCTAATCTTTCTCCAAAAAAATGGAAGGGCATCTCTAGTGTCAAGCTGTACACTGTTATATTGTCCGACACCGAATGTAGACAATATTAGGGGGGAAGGGAAGGATACGTCCACCCCCCCCCATTCTAAAATTATTTTACCCTACGTAGAAACCCTAGAACAGTGTATTTAATTGCTTCTGAGATAAAATAAGATAAAATAAATTATTAAAGTTAAAATATAAGTCTCTCCTGAAAAAAGGGAAGAGAATTCAACCCCTGAGGGTGGTTAAGTCCATTTTTGTCAGTTGCTCAAACCCGCAAGTACCCAAAATGGATAATTATGATTTACCAGATAGAAAATCAAGGATATCTTAATCAAGTCTTCTCAGACAAAAGTTCTTATGGTACCCTTGTGAATCTGTCCCTTCTCTCTTTAAATGAAGGATTTTACATTTACCATCCCTTTA